ATATAGCTGCCACTTGAGATAATACAGTTATTCAAATAAAAAGTCAAGAATGGAAAATAAGAGGCTAGGTTTGTCCTTGTTTCTGATAGACCAAGTTACCAGATCTGGCTATCCAAATTCAGAATGACCACAATGTGCTTCCATTAATATCCTTGAATTTACAACACAGCTCAGCCAGTACAATTCTACTTGTTTGCTTAGAGTTAAGTCTCATTGTTATACGTGTGTACATATTTGCAACTTTAGGACATGACACAGCATGATTTCTCAAAAGACCCCTGGGATCAGAGAGAGTTGTTCATAGGGTGCAGTCACTGCAGCTGAACACACCTTGACTTACTTTTTGAGTAAACATACAAAAGGGCTGGTTGCTACAGGTCATGCTGCACTCCAAAGTGTGTTGATAGACTAAGAGAAGGAGGTTCACACAATTCTCAGAAAAGATTAATGATGAGAACTAATTTTCTCTAAGATAACTCAAAGCCAGACAAACTAGATTAGATCTTCTATCCCTACTGTTCTGAAATATTAAGCAATAACCACAACTTGATTTTTCAAGGATACCACCAGCAGTTCATCTATTCTATTTTTTTTTTTTTTTTACTAAATGGCTGGCCTTTGAAACAGAAAAAAAATCTATCCTTAACTTCATATTTTTGAAATTAAAAAATGTTTATTTTATTACTGCCTTACATCATACCTCTTACAGTAAGCTAAAAACATGAAAGAATTGTGCTTTGATGAATACTTAGCATGTTTTCTATATATTATATTTTTTTTCTCCAAAGACCTACAATAGGTCGCAAGTACTCTGTATAATTTCAGGAATCTTGGTAATAAAGAAATGTGACCAGTATCCATTTTCTTGTTTGTTCTTTGCATTCCAATGGAACTTTTTCTAATATAAATTCATGATTCATACTGATAATTTTATTTAATTTCAGAAACAAAGTGCTATGGTTTGTACAGGCATTCCTCAACTTACAAGAATTCATTTAGTGGCCATTTGAAGTTACAACAACATTGAAACAACTGACTTATGATCATCTCAGGGGTTGCCACAAAGAAGAGGGAGTCAACCAATTCTCCAAAGCACCTGAAGGCAGGACAAGAAGCAACGGATGGAAACTAATCAAGGAAAGAAGCAACCTAGAACTAAGGAGAAATTTCCTGAGAGTGAGAACATTTAATCAGTGGAACAGCCTGCTTCAAGAAATTGTGAATGCTCCAACAGTGGAAGTTTTAAAGAAGAGACTGGACAACCATTAGTCTGAAATGGTATAGGGCAATGGTGGCAAACCTATGGCACGGGTGCCAGAGGCGGCACTCGGATCCCTCTCTGTGGGCACACATGCCGTTGCCCCAGCCTTGCCTCCCCCCGCGATCCCCTCACCAGCAGCCCCCCTGGAGGAGAGTCGCCCCCAAGCATGACCCACATGGAGCAGCGCAGCCAAGGACATGGCAGCCAGGCAGTTTAGACAAGACTCTGCCCTCATGCCCCATCGCGCACAGTTGATGCTGTGGGGTGTGGGCAGAGGGCGTGGCCACCATAGCGCTGCTGGGCTGCCTGGGCAATCTGCGGTAGGTCCTGGAGGCGATGAGTGGCCCTGTGGACAGGCAGGATGGGGGCGGAGCGGGGGCGGAGCGGGGGCAGGGCAGGGGGTGGAGCAGGGGCAGGGCCAGTTTTTGGGCATTCGGTTTCTAAAAGGTTCACCATCACTGGTGTAGGATTTCCTGCCTGAGAGGGGGTTGGACTAGAAGACCACCAAGGTCCCTTCCAATATTATTATTGTTGTTGTTATTATTGTTGTTATTTTATTCACACTTAAGATTGTTGCAGCATCCTCATGATCATGTTATCAAAATTCGGACCCTTGCCAACTGGCATGTATTTATGACAGTTGCACTGTCCTGGGGTCAGGTGATCACCTTTTGTGACCTTCTGACAGTCAGTAGGGAAGCCAGATTTACTTAATAACCATGTTACTCACTTAACAATTGCAGTGATTCACTTAACCACTTTGGCACAGTCATAAAATGGGGCAAAACTCACTTAACAACTGTCTCACTTGGTAACATAAATTTTGGGCTCAGTTGTGGTCATAAATCAAGGACTACTTGTACTATATTTCTGAAACTGCAGTCATCCTTATACATATTTCAAAATATGAGGAATATATTTTACTACAAATCTGATGCGGGATCACCCTCTGATACAAAGTTAGGTATCATGTTTGGTAGAAAGCAGAGATCAATGTGCCCCAAAGGACAGTTCAAATTTTATACTTTATGGGATGTTTCTTCTAAAACTATCCACTTAAGGTTATCTCACTGAGCCATTTCCTTCAGATACCATAATCACATGTTAATATCTCATTCTAGGGAAGATGAAAATTGGGCACTATAGCATGATTATCTCTACTGTTTGCAGGATGTCAAATTGTGAAAAAAATAATTTCCTGTTGTTGGGGATGACTGACAACTCATCCAAAATCCACATCCAGCAAATTAACAAAAAGCAAATCTTGGTTACTTCATCTGACTTCTGTCCTGGCACATAAGGCAAGATCAGTCATAATAGGTTTTGGTTAGATTGCTATGTAAATCCATCCACTCTGGTTTGTAAAAGTAGTAGAAATAGTGGGTAATCTCTTAGTACCCAAGAACAGTACTTGGGCAGCACATTTTTTTAGAAGTCCAAGGGCTGCAAACTGTTTCAGGCCAGATAGGCATCAGCAACAAATCACAGTGATGTCATAATAATAATGTATGTTGTGACTTGATCATATCAATGATCCAATAATATAATTGTATTATGCTATGTCATTGGTAGGAAACCAAATCGTCAAAGAACATGATGGCTGGACACTATCAAAGCTGACACCAGCCAGATAAAAAATGAAGTAATGCAAGATCGGAAGATACCGAGAGACCTGGCCCATAGATGATAGACTGAATAGATGATATCATCATCATCATCATCATCATGTCATTGGTAGAGTGATGTTGCAACACAATTGTGGCCTTCTTGACTCTCCCCATCAGTTTACAGTGCATTCTTGCCTTTCATCTAATCTGTACGTTTACATTTTGTTTAAAGAATCTTTAAACCTCCTCTGAAAAGAAAAAGTAACAACCATTAAATATAGCGGTAAAAAAAAACATTTTAAAATAACACATCCAAATGATGTTTTCTTATTTTGAGATGATCCACTACTGGTTTTGCTCCTGGGTTCAAATATAAGCATGCAGGAGAGTTTTCTCATCATCCACCTCATGAATTTTACATGCCTATGCCCCCATGGGTGTTCCAGAAGTTCTCACCAAATTGTAATGAAATAGAAGGGGGAAATCATTAAATGCATGGTTGATATCAACCATATGAACTCTGACTAATTATACTGTAATCAAAATGAAATGAATTTTTAAACCAGTTTTGATTCTGGCCCACCCAGTTTCGGGAGCGGCATGGTATTCAAAAGCAGAATGTGACCTTTAGCCTAGAAAAAATATTGCAACAATAAAGGTAAATTACTCAACTTTAAGCTCCATCTAATTTTATTTTTTTTTTCACAATCTTTTGGAGGTAACGATGACATCTGCCTCCAATTTCAACTGGGAACAAAGTCTGTCATCTGTCAGAAACTGGGAAAACACAAGCTACTAATGAAAATAATCATGGGATGGTGAGTCATATGCTCTGCCTCTCTTTGCTGCTTAACTGGCTACTGAATCTTGGCTTCTCACATATGTAACTGTTCAGTGACTCACTTTAGCCTTTGAAAAAGAACAGAAACCCTAGCAGTGTGGTCAAACTCCCATTTTAAAAAGCTGTATACTAAATCTCCTTCTATTTACATTCAGTCAATTCTTCTCCATTGCTTTCTCAAAAACATATTCCGATCCGTATTTTCAAACCCATAGTGCAGATAAATTCAACGTTTATGAAAAGTACCACTTTTGTTTACAGCATAACAGAAATTTTAAGATTAACCTCAAAGCTTGGAGTACACACAAAACAAAGATTGTACTTTGTTTCAAATCTGGAACAAAAGATAAAATGCTTCAGTACTTTGAGCTTCAGATAAAACAATATCTGGAAAATCTCAAAAGAAATTTTATGGAGCTAGTAGGGCAAGACTGGTGTATGCCTCCCCCAAGACTGATAGTTATAGGCATGGCATATCCCACCCACTCGTTTTATGATTCTGGGTGTCTTGCCAGCATTTGTCACCTGATCCCTGACATTCCAAGTGCCATCTTCTCCCTCCCTCTTAGCCATGATATTCTTCTGCCAATCTAGACTGCAATGAATATTTTATAAAATGTCCTAGATTAGAACATCAAATCTTATAGGGTTGTTGTAGAGAAATTAGGAGTGGGAGCATTAGGAATGTAAGCTGCCTTGAATTGACCCCATCAATCAATCAATGCAGGATAAACCAAATAGATAATAAATATCTGAGTCTGACAATAACTACTTTTGATTGGTATGGCTTGGAAAACTCACTCAAAAATGTTTAAAATTACACTATTTGATTGTTACTGTATTGTAGGCTATAAGTGGCTTTCTATTCTCATCTAGTCCAACCCCCTGCTCAGGCAAAAAACCCTATACCATTTCAGACAAATGGCTGTCCAGTCTCTTCTTAAAAACTTCCAGTGCTGGAGCATTCACCGCTTCTGGAGGCAGGTTGTTCCACTGATTAATTGTTCTAATTGTCAGCAAGTTTCTCCTTAGTTCTAGGTTGCTTCTCTCCTTGATTAGTTTCTATCCGTTGCTTCTTGTCCTGTCTTCAGGTGGCAGCCCCTGAGATATTGAAACACTGCTATCATGTCACCCCTCATCCTTCTCTTCATTAGACTATTTTCTATTTTTATCATACCCAATTGACAGCTGTAGTAATGATAAATGAAATGGATTTTATTGCTTCACAGATTTATAAACATAAGGTATGCATTTTTTCTGACATTTTTCATTTTATTGCTACTGAATTCCATGACTAATTTCTAATGTTTGAGATAAAATACAACCCACTACCAAGATTTAAAAAATTCTGGTTATTTTTGAAAGAATACTGCAGGATTGTTTTACTCTTTCAAATTAAGTATGTAGGCAACAACTCATGTAAAATGTATTTTTACATTGGAGGTGTACCAGTGGCAGCAAATTGTATCTTATTTCATTGCATAATACAGGAAGACATTTTTAAGAAAATATTATTAGGCTAACTTATTTCCTTAACATCTGTTGGTAGCCAACATTTGTCAAGTGTGGTTCCTCCAGGATTTACTTGCCTTGCTGATAATTTTCTCTTTCACAGGGTAGAAGATGCCACAGGAAGGCACAGGAAGATCCTGACTTTGTTCCAACCAGGTAAGCCTTAGTAGATGGTGGTTATAGTTCAAATTTTGGATTAGTTGATTTTAAAGGAAACTAAAGACAAGTGTACTCAAATATGTACTTTGAAAAGCAATGTGAATAATGCAGTGTGGGATTCCATGCAGGAGAAACAAAATGGGAAAAAGATTGTAATACAGTCTTCTAAAAAGAAGATACCAAAAGCTCAATTACAAGTAATTTCAAAAAGGATAATAGTGGAAGGCAACAAATGATTAAGCAATGTTTGTGATCACTTGGGAAAAAAAATCATTGCCTGGCAAGAATCAGCATGGGATTGTCCAGGTTAAATTTTTCCAAAACAACCGTTTCCTTTTTGTGACAGCATAAACAGTTTAATTGGTCATGGAAATACAGTGGATATACAATAGCCTACAGCAATATATCTGACAGACAGAAAAACCTGGCAGTTGTATTTTGTTCTTTAGCATATTAAGGGGCATTGTAAAATAAATTGAAAGGGCGTGTTAATTCAAGACATAATTGAAGCAAAGTAACCTTCTGAAGCTTTGTGAAGCCTCCCTAAACGCTCCTTTAAACTTCGTAATTGCAATGAATACAAATGCCTTCCAATGACTGTGTGCGAAACACCACTAAGCAGCCAATCCCATTGTGTGAATCCAGCCAGATCCTGTGTATGCTCGCTGATTTGATGAACCAATCCGTTCCAACGAAGGGATTCCCAATACTGTAATCCGTATAAGATCAAAACGCCAAGTTATTTAATGCAGGACTACTATACCTGTCCAGCAAAAATATAGACAGCAGCAGCAGAAAAAAAAAAACACAAATTCCTGGGCGTCTCTGCTGCCATATAGTGGTTTAATCCGGATTTTTGCAGTTTAAGGATAGTAGCTCTCATTCCCCCCCCCACTCCCGTCATTCCTAATTTTTTTTAAAAATGCAATCCTCCAAAAGACAGCTCCTTCCCTTCCTACACACGCACACACACACATTCTCTCTCTTTCTCTCCCTCCCTCTCCCCGTCCTCAAAGTTCTATTCACTGCTTTCCACGGGCGAGGCAAGCAACGCGGGACGGCGGGCCCAAGAGTGCGAGAAGGCCGACGAGGCGGAAGCAGCCAATTCAGAACCGCCAATGGAGCTCCGAGCGAATCGATGACAGCCGGAGCGCTTGGCTCCTCCTTTCGGCCGTCGATTCACTTCGGCCCAGGCAACAAGCCGAGTCAGTTGGGACGGCGATAGCGGGGCAGAGGAGAGGGGTAGCCACCATTTTTGGGAAACGGGGCTCCGGTCGCGATCGGGCGGGCGGATGAGCGAGCGTGTGCATAGGACGCAGGTACTCCGCTGGGTCAAACTTGGGCTGTGCATTTTGGTGGGGTCCCCGGAGCGTCACGTGAAAGACGCTGGAGTCTCTCCAGCCTCTTTCCTGTTCCCGGTTGGATTTTGGCAGGAAAGACGCCCATTTCGGAAGCGCCTCGTCGCCTCCTCTCTTTGGGGTTGCTGCGGCTGTGGCAGCCGGACTGAAGCAAAAGGGTGGAAGGGAGCAGTTAGGAAAGGTGGCGGGACAAGCTCCGCGAACCTCAAGGGAGCTGAGCAAAGGAACTTTAAACAAAAAAGAAAACACCACCACTCCCCCCCCCACCTGCGACCACGGGTGCACCCACTATTCTCCGTGTCCTGTCAAACAATAATGCATGCCCCAGCGCACTTGGTCTGGATTTCTCTGTTGCAAATTTCAAGCCGTCCCGCGGAGGGGACAGAGATTACCTTGGTTTGACGTGTGTGTGTGTGTGTGTGTGTGTGTGTGTGTGTGTGTTTAGGTTTAGGGTATGTGTAAAGTCTATTTGTACTTCCTCTTTGGCCGCGAAGAGCGTGTGGGTGGGAGAAGTTTAAACTCTTTCTTCGTGTTCAATATGTCAAAGCAGAGTTTGACAGCAGACTTTTGGCAAGCTGGATTTTAAAGAAAAAAGAAAAAAAAGAATGACAGGCTCAAAATCTGCTAATTTGGAAAGTGAAGGCAGTGTAAGAAAAAATAGTTACAAAACATTGGTTGAAGGAAAAGAGCCACATGTTTGGAAGTTTGGTTCCTCTGAATAGAGCCTCCTTATCCAGGCTACAAAAATCTGGGTTGACCATAACAGAGTGATATAGAACACTCTTAAGGACCTGATTTTAATTTGGGGAGTTGTCTGGCTTCTTGGTTCGTGCTTAAAGTAAGTGGAAATCAGGCAGCCTTTGCTCAAATCTGGCTGGTACAGTTTTTATTGGCTGTCTTGATGATGGTAATCAATCTCTTTCTCACCTCTGGAGAAGCTACAGTTGCTTAGACTCCTGATGGACTACCCTGACAAGCTACAATGACACTTATTTTGAAATTATTCCACGGGTTGCCATGGGGCTTCTAGGCCCAGATCAAACTTCAAACTTTAAAACCCTTTATGGTGCAGTTCTAAGCAACATCTTGCAAAACTTTAACTCAACATAGGATAATTTGAACCTGGTCATTTGTATTCTGAATGAGAACTCTGGATTGACATGTTCAATTAGCTTGTTTTCTTGGCCATCCACAGTATTAAGAGCATTGTTCAATATCAGATTTTAGAAGCATCAATACTTTTTCTATCCTGCTTTTTCAAAGTCCAACTTTGGCTTCCATAGAATTTTACAGGGAATACCATGTCTTCCACAATTCTGATCTTTGTAGGTATAGGCCAGGGGTAGGCAACCTTGGCTCTTTTATGACTCGTGGACTTCAACTCCCAGAATTCCTGAGCCGGCATGGCTCAGCTTGGAAACCTCTCCCTTTCCCCTCAGCATGGCCTGGCTCAGGAATTCTGGGAGTTGAAGTCCACGAGTCATAAAAGAGCCAAGGTTGCCTACCCCAGGTATAGACACTTCACAGCATCTGAATATCTTTTCCAAAGCCTTCATGGCTACTCTACCATATGGTAGTCTATGGTGTATTTCTTGGTTGCTCGTTCCTTTACTGCTGGTGGTTGATTCTATAGAAGTTATTTCCCATTTCCATAGCTTCATTGGTAGCTCTAAAGCTTGCTGTTGTACCTGATGTCATTAGTTTAATCTTTATGTTTAATTTGAATCCCGCTTTTTTCACTTTGCTCCTTTATTACTTGAGTTTGCACATCCTTTGCTTTTTCGTCTATCAGAATACAATAGTATCATCAGCATACTGGTTACTGATGTATTTTCCTTCAGTTTTAAAACCATACTGCTTTTCTTCCAATACATCTTTCCTTAATATATATTGAGCATATAGGTTGAGTATATGAGGGGAGAGTGAACAGCCTTCTCTCATTTGCCAACTTGAAGTGAGTCTGTTTCCCCATGTTATATGACCATACTTTGGCTCCCCAATCTGTGTAGTATATAGGTTTTGCAAGAGGAAAACAAGCTGTTGTGAGGTTTCTGTTTTCCTAAGCACATTCTATAGCTTGATGTGACTGACATCATCTAACATCTTTCTATATGTAACGAAGCCTATAGTGGCTCCTTGGAATTTTTTTAGCTTTCTGAGTTATCCAGGGTACATCAGTAATAATGTCTTGTTTTCCTCAGCCTTTTCTAAAGCCAGCTTGAACATCTGGCATCTTTTCCATGTAAGGCTCTAATCTGCTTTGGATGATCCTATGCATTATTTTGGTAGCATGGGAAATTCATATTGTTCGTGAACTCTGATATTATTCAGTCACTGATCGCATTGTAGCCAAATATTTTTCTTGCTACACCGTTCCTAATTATAAAAACAGTGCTGTTCCTTCTTTGTATTTTGTATCCTAAGCAAAGAAAACCAGTGTAATCTTCTGACTGAAATTGTCCAATCCTAATCTATCTCAGTTCACTGATGCCTTAGATATCAATCTGTAGTTGTTTTATTTCTAGTTTTATTGTGTTTAACTTTACTGGGTTCATGTTATGTTTCGTGTACTCAGTGTAATTCTGGCTTTGCAGCCTGGTATTTTCTTTTCCTGTATGGTAACTTCAGCAAATAGACATCCCAAAGACTTTAATTTAGACACACTACAAACACCATTAGAACTCAGCTCTTCCTCAGTAGTGTCATTTGACCTGAGGAGCCCAACATCCAACACTATTTGATATTTTCTTTTAGCAGGAAAGCCACTAAAAATATAGTTTTCTTGCTAAAAGTACAAGGATGGCTTACTATTGCCTTTTTTCATGCAGAGTGAATTGATGTCTTTGCTACTAAAGTGATTATCTACCTCCAGCATCTTCCTGTATCATTATTGCCCAATATAGGTGCACATTTGGTTAGCAGAACAGATGGTATAACCTCACACCTTGGGTGACCCTGCTGGAAAAATATACTCTTGGCATATGCCCCCAAATTTATTTGTCTACCCCTCCCAAGAATACTTCCCACCATGATAAGGATGGTGAGGACAAGCACAAGAGGATGGGAAAGGAGGTGACATTTTGATACATCTAAAAATTTGCATCTTGTTGACTACAGAATGAAAATATTTTGCTAGCCATTTTTAAAAGACTTGTCACTTTTATCCCATCACCAGAGGCAGAAGCAGTTATAATTGTTCTGATATTACAGTTATGTACTCTTGTTGTATGAATGATCTGCAATAGCTCAATTCTCTCTGGTAGCTTGACATTGCATTCATTGGCTATTTTTTAGCTTGGGCTGAAAGAGAGATCAGGCATCTAGCTTCAGTGTTATGCCTGATGCCAATTTCAAAGCATTTGTTATATGTTGAATGGGCTCCTTATTAAAATAGATGTGATGTTCAGCTTTAAAGAAACTGTTTCCTTAAAGCCCTTGTTCAGCAGTCGTTACGAAGAGTGTGAGATCTGTCTTTAAGAGATGCTATTTCTGCCAAATGATTTTTATTGGTATACACAGGTTTTCTGCTCCTTCTACAAAAAATATAAGCTTCACATGGCCAAGTCCACTGCCATTTTACATGCAGGTAGACCTCATTTGTCAGTGCTGAACAAGGGGATTTACTACCATTTCTTGTACTAATAGTTATTATAGTGTCCCCACATTCATGTATTCACAATTTGGGCACTTAGCTACCAATTCACAATTATGTTGCAGCATTTTGCAGTCACACAATTGTCATTTGTGACCTTCACTGCCAGTTCTAACCAGCAAAGTCAATAGAGAAACCTAGAAGTCACAAATGGTGATCACCTGACTATGGGACCCTATGATTGCCGCTACTACCTTCGGAAGTCAGTGCTGTCAGCTAATTTCATACTTTATGACTGTGACTAAGTTGCTGGTCCCAATTACTATCATTAAGCGAGGACTACCTATATTTTCAGATGCTGTGGGGCTTGGCTGCTCATTTCTGATATTGCTGTTTCTTGTAGCTGTTAATGATTTGGAATATATGAGATGGGAGTTGAATTGATAAGAGGTTTGCCTGTTCTCTCTTTTAGCCAAATGATAGGTGATGGGTGTTGCCAAGGGAGGGATTAAAGTGGAAGAAAGTTATTCTAATGTTCTGTAGAATCTTTCTGTTAAATATAAACCAAATATTTCTTGAACACAATCTATTCCAGAAGAGTGGTAGACTTTAAACAAAAGTGTCTAGCATTCTTCTGGGAGACCGTTAGACATTTGTTCAGAAATAAATCCACTGACAAGTACTAATGCAGAGTACTTCTAGTCTATTGACCTGTCATTTGAAAATGATAAACCTCCATCACTCAACCCCATTTCACTATTCACTCAACTCCACTTCACCATATAGTAAGAAATATTATTAGTGATTTATTTCCACAAGTTTCGGTGATGATGGGAAAGGCGGAAAAAAGCTACCTGGATAATCCTCCAATTGTTTTTCTTAGCTTGTCCCACATCAAAGCTTCAAAGACACTATTGTGTGTCAGCCTTGTTACTGAAGTGTTAGGGCAGTATAGTTAGGTCAACATACTTTTCTGCCAACTCAAAGAGAAGAATATGGGTTAGTATGACCCTGATAAAGAATCCAAAGTTATTGTAGATCTGGAATTTTTACTTGACATTGAATTGGCTAACAGAATTACACCAAGATCTGGGCCAATTTAGTCTCAGCTAATGCTTCCAGATGTGTTAAAAACTACAATTTGAATAATTGGAAATAACAAAGAATTTCAGTCATGAAAAGGAATTTTTCTTACATTTGTTTTTGCAGCTGTTAAACGGTTTGTAAATTGGAAGTTCTATTGATGTATCAAAAATAACATGGATTGCAGGCAATTCAGCCTTAAAATATAATCCCCTCCCAGGGAATTCAAACATACTGTATAGCTATTATAATTGCTCTCTGCTTCAGAATGTATATATTATTTATTGGTATTGGAAGCAAAGCCAGTTTCCAAAACTTGAGTTCATATTTGTTAAGTTCCAGAATGAGACAATAGATATAAAATAGTTTGGATGTTTATTGGCTGCAATTTTTAAGCTTAGTTCTAACCCCAGCTGTCTCTATAACTATAAAAATAAAGTCCTCTTCAAATTAAGCTTGACTTTTTTGTTGATTATATAGATGCATCCATTTAGTTTTCTTTGCAGCTCTGGTTGGCCATTGCCTTATTCCAGGATGATTTTTTTTTCAATTTCCAAGCCTAGTGTGTGTCCCTTAAGTTTTTCAAATTCTTCCAAGTACTAACTACATCAGTTCTTGCTTAGTTTCCAAGCTACATACTAAGGGGTGTCACATGCTATGAGGTGTCTAATAAAATATGTTGCTTCCTTCTGTATAATTGAATAGTTTCATACCTCTGTAAAAACAGTACTAGTATATCACAACAACATGGTGATAGCAGCAAAATATATTCGGTGGTTTAGGTTGTAGAAATGTTGTATCAGGTTTGAAATCACTTCTTCTAAGCTATCTCAAAATGTAGAAGAAATAAAACAGTACTATTTAATATTCATATCTTCATAAACAACTACAAGCCCTGGGACTAGGCCTAGCTTACAAAAGTAGTAAGCTACTTTTGATTCAACAGTAGTCTATTTACTTACCGGAATCTGAACGTTGTTCTTTGGGAGAATGAGACGTCACCATAATTAGAAGTTGGGCAGTAAGTAAAAACTGCCTTGTTGCTCTTCAGCTTAACATGCCATCCTCTGAATTACCTTTGATCAAGTGTATATAGAAGTATGTGATGATTTATACTATAAAGACCTTATTTTACTTAACTATATGGTAATTCAACTATAAGATAATTGCACGTAATAGGTATTAAAAATTAAAGAAATGTGAAGTTAAATTTGAGTGCTGATAATTTCAGAAATAATATCAAGTCTTTATCTTCTTTTTTTAAAATAGACATTTGAAAGTAACTACACCAAAGAGTACTGCAAACCTGCTACTACCATGGCAACAAAATATCTTGGTAAGAATGAATTAGTGATTTTTAAAGACGCATATTTTTAATCAATGCACTGTGTTTTCTGATTTTTAATCTGGGCAATTATAACAAGATTTACAGCTCTGAGAATTTTTAAAACTCTTAATAAAATGCAGATGAAAGGTTTGTGTTCTAATAGTGGTGCCTTTGTATAGTTGTGTGTCTCTTAATTAGAAAGATAATCATCAGTTATAAATGCTGTCTCCATTGTCAGTAGGAAAAAGACAGAATTGCCACTGATTATTCTACAATACAATACAAACCTATTACTTAGTTCTTCAGGTTAATCTTTCAAATTCTTATCTTTGAACAAAATTTATTTTCTGGGATTTCTCATTAAAAGATAAAATTGGCTTTCATTCTTAATCTTAAGACATAACTTGTGAAAAACAAATGTTTTTCAGACAATATTAAATGGCCTAGTTTGCCAAATATACATTAAGGCAGACATGTCAAACTCACGACATCACATGACATCGCGCAACGTATCGGGACAGTTTTACCATTGCCAGCATGGAGTGGGCACGGCTTCCATGTGACGCATCTGGCCCACAGGCCAGCAGTTTGATACCCCTGCATTAAGGGTTTCTTTAAGCTTCAGACATTTTGACCAGTTACTATGGAAGTGACTTGTGTACATTCCATTTCTGTGATATCACTAGGGATTGATGACAAATTTGAATCAATTTCTGCACAATCTCAAGGTTGTGGGCCAACTCTATCAATATTTGAAGTTAACATCTATGTTGGTAAAATCTAAGGTGTCATTTCAATTCTGTAAAAGTGAATTTGTGGAATAGGATTACAAATTTAGTATTTAGTAGTGCCTAGTTTATGGTGAGTATGATTTATGACATTAATCTGAAGAAAGTAAAGAAAAATCTCTGCAGAAGTTAAAAATTTTCATTTTAAAGTGTTATTGTTTGAGTAATATATTTTTAACTATAAAATGGAACTGTCATCAACTGAAATACATTCGTACGTTTGAATAAATATATGAAAACCATGTGTGTATCTATATAGAATTTATCTACTCTATCTAATATACTGTAATAAAAGACAGAACAATAACTATTGATAAGTGGTTGAAAATGCTAAGGGCTTATTTCTTTTTGAATTTTTGCAGAAAATGCTCAAGAATATAGATAAAAAAATGTTCCATGGGATATATCTGTGTCATACTTATAAAAATCTAGAAGGTAAGGAAAACTCTGTCATACCATATATATCTAATATAAATAACAAAATAAATATAAATCTGCTTTATATTTCACGAATAATTAAATTGTAAAACTCTACAGTTAAAATAATAGAGCATACAGTAATTCAGTGTTTCCCAAACTTGACAATTTTAAGGCATGTGGACTTCAACTCCCAGAATTCCACAGCCAGCGTTGCTGGCTATGGAATTCTGGGAGTTGAAGTCCTCATGCCTTAAAATTGTCAAGTTTGGGAAACACTGCAGTAATTAGTTTCTCTTTTCATACAAATAACTATTATTTCTTCCAATTTTACTTGAGTCTTACAAATATTCATCAGTTACCTATAATGTGCTTTTTTTGACAGCAAGAAATCATTTAGCTTGATGTACCTTTTTTTTTTTTTTTTTACTGAAACTGAGCAAACTCATTTATTTGGGCAGGGTAGTTAGAACTGTAGCTGTTAATTCTTTTGAAAACACACATAGCCAGTTAGTCCTGTTTTGCATGCTTCATTAAATTCTATCATACAAACTCAACTTTTCTGGAGCTTAATTCTGTCTCCAAAAAAGCATTTTGTGTAACTAGCGTGAGGAAAATAAATAGACATCTACATAATTTATAAAGAATTATATTATTAGTTCACAGTTGTTTAAATTTATGTGATATGTTGCTGATGAATGCAATTGTTAATGATATTGACTAATTATTTTATAGCAGAATAAGGGATGACAAGAGGGAGAAGATCCTTTATTCTCTTTGCCATTTCTAGGGACTATGAAAACAGTATTTTGCTTGCAGATATAATTTGTGGGCTCTGATAAAAATAAAACCATTATTCAAAACAATGCTTCTAATTCTAGCCAACTTAAGGCTTCTCCTTCCTATGTTGTCTAAAGAGTTATTACCTCATACAACTAATCAAATAATGTCCATATATGGCATGTAACACATCTTTCTTTTGACTAAGGATCACAGTTGGCATGCTAGTGTCAACAGTCTAAAAAGCAGTTGAAAAGAAAGGAACAAAAGAAAGATTACTGCCCAGTCATATATTTAATAATTTTACCCTGTGTCACATCAGAAATGACAATTTAGTTACTGCTTTTGGAGGTCTCTAGAAGTTGTGTTGGGTGATATGCCATGCTTATGGCCTGTCACTGAAAACAAACCGAATATGATTATCAGAATGTAGAGTTTATTTGGAAAAATATGATGAGGATCCTGTACTTTGGATGCAGAAGTCACCACCTGGACTTGGTGATTGTTAATGTCTCCTAGCTGGAGGTGGAATTATCAGCAGTCTTGAAGTAGATTGTGGTATGTTCACTTCTGAAGAAACTATTCTTGGATTCAGGAATTGGAGGTAATTACTGTCAGATGTCCAGCCTCCCTTTTCAGAGAAGATTGTTGAGACAGTGATGGCAGAAGAAATGGATTATCTGGACCCTTTTCATTTGGGTTTCTTGCCAGGACATGGGACAATAATAGCATTGGTCTCTTTTGTGATGGCATGAGTCAAGACCTGGATGGAAGTAGTGAACTCTTCCTCATACTTTTGAATTTCTCCGTGATTTGGTACCATCATCTATGGTACCTTACTGTACTTATGGGACTTAGTTTTGGCAGCTCTGTTTTGCAGTGATTCCACTCTAGAAGAGCTTTTGCCTGGCTTGGGCTGTTCCACCAATTGGTACAAGAGGACCTGGATATAGTAATTAATGCACTATTTGGATTATTGCAATGTGTTTAAAGACCTCTTGAAAACCACAACTAGTCCAGAATGTGCCAGCTAGCCTTCATATTTACTGGGGGCATGAATTATTAATTCTGTGAGCCCTGCACTGGTTGTTAATTGGTTTCCAACTACAATTTGTGTTGTTTATATTGACTTAAAAAAACCTTCATGGCTGGGTTCTGAAATACATGCAGGACTACCTGCTGTAAGCAGAATTGTCCTGTCATGCTACAGGAAGAAACGGCTTGAGCTCTCATATTTCTGGGAGATGAGAGATATTTTAATTGTAATCATATTGCATATAGACTTTAAACTGCTGAGAATAATCAAATTAAAGCTGAGTATAATTTAATAAACTTAGCTTATATGTTTTTGTTTGGTTGCATTAATGCAGGCTACTGCTTTATACACAATTCATAGGCATAGTTTATTAACAAAATAATTTTAAGCCAGCTTGAATTCTGCCATGTTACTTTTGTTTTTCCTATGAGCCTGACCTTATATAGTAGATTTGGCATATTTCCATGGAAAGCATGTTCATTTTGGCATCCTTCCGTGGAAAAATTGAAAAAAAAATTATATGCCTTCTAATAATTACTGCATACTGAGTGTCTGTAGTTGATACTCTGATACAGTATATCTCTGAAATCACATATTTAATGTTGATATTTATTATCTTGTTTTATCTAAACTTAGTTTTTGATTAATACCCAAATTCAGTTGGAAAGGAGGCTGTTATCATATTACTATCGTACATAACTATAGGCATTCACAGGTAACTAAAGTTTGCCAAAATAAAGAAACCTTCATAGTGCAATTTCTTCCCTTCCTGTATCACAACATTGCATGCAAATACATAATAGGCAGAATTGCATCAAGATGTCACAACACAGGCTTTGTAAATTACACTCCCACGTCCTATATATGCATATGAATTGTGCATATCACATCTGTGTTTTCAAAGTGGGACTCTTGGATTGCAAAATAGGTGAAATGGCAGATTTAAGATCTGATGGAAAGTTGGAAAAGCCTACTATCCTGTAGGCAATTGACGCCCTTTATTATTTTTTATTTTTTTAGAAAATACTCTTCATCTTTACATGATGCCATGAAGCTCATTGAAGTCCAGTCATCATTTTATTCTTAAAAGGTTACAGAACAGGTATGAAAATCCTGTGAAATAACTGGCATTCTACAGTTTGCTTATCCAAAATACAAGGCTATTAGAATAAAGCAGAAATCTCCAAATTTGGCAGCTTTAAGACTGTGGACTTCAATTCCTATAATTCCTCAACCAGCCATGCTGGCTGTGGTGTATTCTGGGAGTTGAAGTCCACAAGTCTTAAAGTTGACAGATTTAGAGACCCCTAGAATAAGGTATAAGTAAAAAAAGATTGATTTGTTTAGATGAAAATAGATACAGCTCAAAATGTGCACGCAGTGCTCCAATTTTAATCCGGACATAAGTAGTGTGGTATTTAACCTTTTCCCCAATTAAATTCAGGATAATCTGTTTAAGCCTTTTATAGTTCACATTTCCGCTATTCATATTTAATTTGCTTGTCAGCTACTTAAAAAGACAAATGTTTTTGGGCTGCAAGCCTGAACATTGTAAGGGTGTTTCACAGGCTTAAATGTGCTAGCAGTTGTCTAGCATGGAGGCTCATAAATGGCTTGTATTTGTATTTTGTTCTGCATCAAATAAAGTTTGTTATATCCAGAGATATTGGTGCCATCAACATGCAGATGGCACTCCAATTTCTCTTTTCCTTTCATATTTGAATCATCAAACCACTACTGGTCTCAGTTCTAGCTTTATTTGAATGAAGAGGAACAAATTAAAGCTTATCATGACGAGACACTTGCCAGACATAAAGGGAATAGGTTTGTACTGTCTTTAAAGCAGCAGTTTGCATTTTAGGAGTGCTTTCTATCAGTTTCATTTTTTGTCAAGTGTGGACAGTGGGGGGAGGGGGGAGACTTTTTTTTTTTTTAGAGAAATCATATTTTACCTGAATTACCCATGCTTTAATCTAAAGTTCTCAAATTCTGACTATCACAAAGGCCACCTCATAATAACCCCATGAAGACTATTTATTAACCTAAGGTCTGAAGCACTGAAATATTTTAATACAGTGGCACAGTGGTTTTTACTGAGAGGGAAGTAAAAAACATATCACAACGGACCTTAAATTTATTAGCCAATTTTTTTTATTACAAAACACAGAAACTTGTGAAACATCTACAAAACAACCGTTTCACTAAGGCTGCATAGCTGGATAGGTTTTTCATTAACCAAAATGCAATAATTGGTTTTACTACTGAATTAGAGTCTAATATTTTTTTCATGATCATATCTACGATACTCTAAGAAACCCCTATCAACAAGAACTGACCAAATCCTGTTTATTTTTTTTCTCTTCTTACCAAGCGAAGAGATTTTTCTTTCCTTTTCTCATTACTGTTCTTTCTCATTAATTCCTTTGCCTAGTAGAAATATGTGATTTATTGTTTTTGCGTGGCAGAGAAATCCTGACAACTAAGCATCCAGATGTATAGTCTCTTTCTCACCCAACTCCTCCTCCTCTCCTTCTCTTCCTCCTTCTCCCTAGCTCATACTAGAAGACCAAACATTATCTTTATGCAGTACGACCAATGTTCAGTGAGATCAGGGCCATCAAAATGGATTGCCTGCAACCGAGTGGGCAAGAGAACACTGGGTGCTGATGGTAGCAATGTCAATACAAACAATATTTCAGGGATTTCTCTGCCAGTATAGATGTAGTTGGGGGGGGGGAAGGAATTTTAATATTCTGCTTATGGAATAAGATAAATTGTTTCCAATTTTGTTTCACACCATGCAGATTGATCATTGGTTTACATTTTTGCTGTACTTTAACATTTGAATGCCTGTCCCACCCAGTTCCTGGAGGATAAAGCCTGTTTCAATTCATTTAAAAAACTCACTTTCACTGCTGTTGTTTGATAAGTTACAAATGGTTTGGATTTTTATCATGAACCGGATGAACCCACAAAGCAGTTCTCTGACTCAGCGTAGGCGAATGGCTCTTGGCATTGTCATTCTTCTTCTGGTTGATGTCATATGGGTTGCTTCTTCCGAACTCACATCGGTAAGTATCTTGCTATAATGCAACAATATTGTGATCTTATTTATTTATTTATTTTACCTAAATGAAACTAGTAGTATTTAACTACAGGGAATACTGCCCATCTCACTGTTAGCCACTATTTGCTAAACTAATTAATCAAACCTTGTAAGGTTTTAGAACAAGCTTTAGATTATACAGTCATGTGAAAAAACAAATGCACCCCATTGAAATGTTTTAACTGATTGAAACATGTACATAACAACAAATATCATGCGCTAGTTACGTTTTGTAGACCATTTTATAATTCAGTGGTTCTGAAATGGACAAGTCAAAGATTGGACCCAATTCACAATACTAGATAACAAATAATTGTTGTGCCAGTTTCCTTTGAATAAAACTAAAACTGTCTGGCTATTTTTGAAGTAAAATTAATTTTCATGCTAATGCATCCCACCTTTAGACAGATGGTAAGTTTTGTAAGTTCCTCCGGTTCCCCCCCCCCCAAAAAAGCTCTTCTTACTTCTTCCAAGTGACTGTATATTCAGGTAATCCTTGACTTACAACCATTCATTTAGTGACCGAAGTTACAACCGCACTGATAAAAGTGACTAATGATCACTGCAGCATCCCCAGGTCATGTGATCAAAATTCAGATTTGTGGCAGTTGGTTTATATTTATGACAGTTACAGTGTCCCGGGGTCATCTGATCATCTTTTGTGACTTTCTGACAACAAATCAATGGGAAAGCCAGATTCACTTAAAAACCACATTACTAACTTAACAACTGCAGTGATTCACTTAATTATGCCAACAAAGATCATAAAATGGGGCAAAACTCACTTAAGAACTGTCTTGTTTAGCAACAGAAATGTTGGGGTCAAATGTGGTTTGTAAGTTGAGGACTGCATAGATATATCACATTTTGATAGCTAGATGCAATTTTTTCCCTATTTACCTCTTGACTGATTGATTATGTACCATCAAGTCACTGTCAACTCTGAGTGATCATATAGATAAGCAGGTTATCCACAATCATTTCTTCTCAAATCCATGTACTAGGAATTTGGTGTCCCATTAATTGTCCTGCAAGATGTTTACTTTAAGGGACTACCCCAAAATGTGATCCATCAGGTTTGTGCATTATCTTGGAATTTCAGCTGCAACAGATAACCTTGCAAAGGATTTTCAAGTAGCAAAATTGCTTACCATCATATGTTAAAATCTTTAATACATTAGTACATTTATTTTTGCTAGTCCAGAAATATGCTAATAACTTATGGTATGGAGAACAGTAACTACTACAAATCCTGCTCTTGACTGAGATTGAATATGAATCCAGGAATGCTATATTTCTAAAATCACTTTTCCATGTTTGAAGGTCCATGTAGCTTAATGAGTTTATGAGTGATGGCCTTTTTCTCCTTTTCTCTGCAGTATGTTTTCACTATGTATAAAAAACCATTCTTCAGTACGTTTGCGAAAACATCCATGTTTGTTCTTTACCTCTTGGGATTCATCATCTGGAAACCATGGAGACAACAGTGCACGCGTGGGTTTCGTGGAAGGCATGCAGCTTTTGTAAGTATTGTTCTATTTATTGATGTTTATCCATATTGTGGGGGGTTTATACACAAGATCAAAGTGTAAAATAGAGACAAAAGTCCACATAAACTAATATAAAGTCATTTCCAAATATTCAGCCTGTACGATAATACTTTCATAAGTCTAGCATTTCAAAATGAATCTTTACATAAACAAAAATAGTAATGCTACTTAGAGGAATTAATATGAACATCTAGCTTGCTGTCTTTGGAATTAGTAGTTAGCATGTGGTTTATTTTGCTTCTGATACTCTGCCTCTAGCTGAAGTGATATTAGTGCATTGCAAAGATGTCACACTAAATGTTGTCCTAAGAAAAATTGTTTTGTGAAAGTTTATTTCTTTATTAAGATGTCTGTAGTTTTTCTATTGATAAAATGCAACAAACCCAGTCATTGTGCTACTTACAATATCCCATGAGAAAATGAGAGCTAAGTCAGTTTTTTTCTCCCTCTGAACTCTCATAGCTAGATTCTTGACACATCTTGCTATATATGAAAATGAAGAGCTCTATAATTATATTCATCTATTTGTTTGTTTATATCCCACCTTTATTATTTTTATAAATAACTTAAGGTGGTGAACACACACACACTCCTCTTTTCTCCTCCTATTTTTTCCATAGTAACAACTGTAATAGGTGGGTTGAGAGAGAGTGACTGGCCCACAGTTACCCAGCTGGTTTTCATGCCTAAAATGGAACTAGAACTCACTGTCTCCTGGCTTCTAGGCTGGTGGATTAACTATTAGCTCATGAACTCAATCAGAAGACTAGGTAGATTTCAGTGTATTGCATAGAATGTTATGGCAATTTCACTTCCTTCTTAGTCTCTCTATTTTGCATCTTAAATACATGTTTCTTTTATTCAGATAAGCAAGTATAGCAAGAAGGCTATACAAAAGAAGGCTATACAAAACTTAAAATTGGTTCCTAGTGGTACTTTGGAGCATGCATGGGCCTGTGTCTCTATCTCTTTAAAGCAGCCATGGCTTTTGCTGGGATCACAAAAGTGCCCTCTGCAGAGGCTGCACGAGCCTGAGAAAAACTGTACTGTAGATGCCTTAACGAGGTGTTTTGGTTTTTTTTAAAGATTAGAATCCAAGCACCACACAGCCCAAATGGTAGAATATTTTATAGCTTAATGATGGCTTAAAAATAATTCTGAGCTCTTGTTTATAGTTACCAAATGTCCCTTTTGAGATCTGTGGTTACTTGCAAATGATAATATGGAAGGTTGAATGCTTAGATAAGCATTTTTAACTTAAGTTTCTAGCTGGAGAATGGACAACAATTATAATGCCCATAGGCATAGGCAGTGATTATTGCTAATGGAAGTTGCAAGCCAGATCTGGGAATTCAGGGTTAGTAAATGCTGATGTTTGAAAACCATTTTTATAATTTCTTATTATGGAAGAAAAAAATTATTAAACTATTTGATAAAATGTGTTATGAACAATATGTCATAGACTGCTTTTTGTTTATTTTTGACTGGCTCCTAGACTAGTGTTCAGCTTACTTACTAACAGCTGGATAATAGGGAAAAACATCCAAATACTGATTTACTTTATAGTCAGCTTGCCATATGCTCCTGATCACATTTGGTTTTATTGCAGTGACACTGTTTATCGTCTCTTATTCTTCTCTTGGAATAGCTTTTATGCCATGGTAAGTTTTGGCTTTGAAACTGATGCCAGTTCAGGATCAAGATGGAGGAAGAATCAGAATGTGGCTGTCAATGGGCCATTTTTCCTCAATCTGTACCTCAGTCAAAACTATTGATGACGATAATATTCTCTAACTTAAACATACTTTTTCAAATCAAAGCACTAGATATATATTAATAGAATCTGAGGTGTCAAATTTCTGCTTAGTTTGCAGATGCTGAAAGTTATTTTGCCACTTGTACAACTGACAATACTGTGAATAGTTCTTTGGTAAGTTTTCTCATTTAAGCATTGTATTGCTGTATGGCAATATTTATTCATATTTTTTTTCAAATTAATACTAAAATAAAAGTAGATCCAAAAAATATTTTGTAGGCTTAAACAAAAACTGATTAAACATGATGAAGAGAACCATAGTAACAAATATTTCTGATTTGCAAGGGTATTTTATATTTGACTTTATAGTTCAACTGATTTCTTCAGTTATTTGTTTGCATAAAGCTATTTTGGTTGTTGTGTAGTGGTTAAGACATCAGGCTAGAAACCAAGACTTTTTGAGTTCTATTTCCACCTGGGGCACAAAGTCAGCGGAGTGACCTTGGGCCAGTTACTTTATCTCAGCTCTAGGAAGGAGGCAATGCCAAACCACTTCTGAAAAACTTTACTGGGAAGATTACAAGGTCTTTATTGAATGGCAGAAAAAATGTGATGAGCTGAAATGCCATCTTATAATGCAAAATAGAAGTTTTTATATAGTTAGCTGTTCCTCTCTCAACCAATACCATCGAAGTGAAAATTCAATAGGGAAGGTTTTGTTTTAATAATAGTAATAATAATAATAATAATAATAATAATAATAATAATAATTATTATTATTATTATTATTATTATTATTATTATTATTATTATTATTATTATTATTATTATTAAAAAAGTTGGAAGGTACCTTGGAGGTCATCTAGTCCAACCCCCTGCTCAGGCAGGAAACCCTATACCATTTCAGACAAATGGCTGTCCAGTCTCTTCTTAAAAACTTCCAGTGTCGGAGCATTCACTGCTTCTGGAGGCAGGTTGATTAATTGTTCTAACCGTCAGGAAGTTTCTCCTTAGTTCTAGGTTGCTTCTCTCTTTGGTTAATTTCCATCCATTGCTTTTTGTCCTGCTTTCAGGTGCTTTGGAGAATAGTTCGTTTTTTGGATTGTCTTGCACTGAAATCCATGCTAATTATCATATTCTTGTTGAACTATGTCTGAAAATCCAGAAAGGGGATATATTTACAGGGATGCAAAACCAATTGGAATCTGAGGGTCACATTGTATACTAGGTGGCCTAGGCACATGTGACTACAGTCTTTATAATTAGGGACCAATTGTTGTTATTGTACCAAAATAAATTTCTCTTATTTCTAAAAATATAAATTCATATCAGGATTAAATAGTCAGTTGTGCGGTCATAAAATGGAACTGTGCATGCCAGGAAGTTTATCAATTTACATGAAGAACATGAGGTTATATTTTTGCTTGGAGGAGGATTGCCTAGGGGCCTCCTATAGAAATGAGAAGGTTATACTTGAAATTCTGGGTATTCCAAATAAACAGCTGATCTAAGCAGTGGGATTTTAATTCTATTTAGTTCTGTATAGTGTTGAGTACCTTTTTGTTCATCACATTGCCCAGAACTCTTGATTTTGTTTTGATAACTGTGTTACATGACTGGGAATTGGTTATGTTGCATTTCAGAGTGAACCTTTGTATGTTCCTGTAAAGTTTCATGATTTGCCAAGTGAAAAAAGTAGCAGCATTAACAGTGATGCTGAAAAAAGTAAGTACATATTTCAGAATGTTTTATATCACCCATGTCCATATAATGCTGGAAGTATGAAAATTCAGAGTTGATGGCTTTTGTCTTTTAGATAAATTATTTTATGTACCTATATATATATTGTAAATGTAAACTGAAAAAGCTTTTATAAATTCAAAAATAAAATGATGGCTTTAACCAAACATAGATTTATTAATCAAATAGTCAGATCACATTAGTTTTTGCACAAGGCAAATGATGAAATTGTGATTGATAATCCCATTCATGAAATAGGAAATATGCAAAATAATTCCTAAATGGAACATCTCAAGTTTCAATGAAATGTGAGTGAAATCGTAAGAAGAAACAGTAATTCTGAAGTTGTTTAGGACTAGAGTATATAAAATATTTAAAATCAAACCGTGTTGAATTGAAACAATCCATTTCAGGTTAAAGGTCAATGAGCAATTTTCAACATTTTGGAAATGTTTGCGTTCACAGATCATTTTGAATACAAAACAATTATTTTGAGGTTGAAACATTTCTAGAATGATTTGCTTGTTGCAAATGATGGCTTCATATGCAAGATAATTTGTTTTGATTTCAAATGAAACATTTCTAATCTGAAATGGTTTGAATTCAAAATATTTTGCATTAAATTACTTAGCACTGAGAATACCATCATTTACTATCGTACAATGCTAGCCATTTAAAATACTTTCGATGGAAAAGCAAGCTATAGATTTATACAATTCAATTTGTATTTATTACACAAATAATACTTTGTTTATGCAAAGTTAATGCCGTTAAATAACAGCACTTGTGCAATATAGTGTTATTTTAATTTATCTGTCTTATAGGAATTAAATTTGAATATATACTGTACAGGAAATTAAAAGATGCTTAGTTGTCCTATTCCTATTTCTTTAGAAAATAAGAATCTAGAACTAGAAACAGCATTTTTCACATTTGGTATACTTAGTGAGTTATGTAGGTCTTTGGTTGAATTAACCACAAGATGGTGTAAAAACCATGCCATACTTAAAACCAAAGGTATAATGTTAAATGTATGAAACAGATTTTAAATACCAAATTCATGAAAAATACATTCTTGTTGAAAGCAAATCAGTTATTCTAAATTAAAGAATTCCGACTTGTTCTTTAAATAAATACAATTGGTACAAATCAAAATCTAGAATAAAATCTGCAGTCCCAGCTTCTCTTTTTTATATAATAATCAATTCATGCTGCTGATGTAAACCTTTAAACAGGGGGAGGAACCTTATCTTGCTGATTGTTTTTCTGTTCCAGTCTAATACATAAAATGACCTGCACCATTTTTTTCCCTACCTAAAGCTCCCAAAAAACCACGTGTAAGATTCAGTAACATTATGGAGATTCGACAACTCCCAGCAAATCATGCACTGGAAGCAAAGCTGTCTCGTATGTCTTATCCAACAGTTAAAGAGCAGGATTCAATATTAAAAGCTGTAGGGAAGCTTACTGCACCTCAAGTAGCCAAAATCAGCTTTTTCTTTTGCTTTGTGGTACGTCATCTATTTTTAATTATTGCAGGGTATAAATTGAGTCTTTTAACTCTGGTATATTTGCTTAATGGAAGATAAATCATTTGAGGTATCAACTGTTTAACCTTGTTCATATCATTTAGGGAACTGCATAATTTTGAGTTATCCTCTAATTGATTTAAAGACAAATAATGGATCTGACAATTTTAATGAGCAAAACCTTCTATTCATTGTGGGAAAAGATATCTATATTTTATGTTTTCACTCTTCTTGCAATAATTCCCTCAAACAAATACTTTAACTAATGAATATTTGTTATTCATTTGTAATTCTGTTGCCTCAAATTTCCTATCATCCATCAGACATCAAAACTTGGAGATATATTTTCCTTGCCTCCATTAGTATAAAAGTGACAAAATTCCATGATTAGATTCATTAATCCTCACATGGCATCTTGAGTCGGGAAGTAGTGCATTTCTAGATCTTAGAACAGTGGTGGCGAACCTATGGCAAGTGTGCCAGAGGTGGCACTCAGAGCCCTCTCTGGGCACATGCACCGTCGCCCCAGCCCCACCTCCTCCCACGGCCCCCTCCTCACCAGCAGCCCTCCGGAGGAGAGTCACCCCCGGGCACGGCCCACGCAATGCTGCACAGCCAAGGACATGGTAGCCGGGCAGTGGGGGCAAGACTCCGCCCTTGCACCCCATCGTGCGTAGATAATGCTACAGGGTACGGGTGGAGGGCGTGGCCACTATGATGCTGCTGGGCTGCCTGGGTGATCTGTGGCAGGCCATGGAAGTGGTGGGTGGTCCAGCGGGCACAACGGAGCGGGGACGGGTGGAGGGTGGTTTTTGGGCACTCGGTCTCTAAACGGTTCGCCATTACTGTCATTGATATGTACATACATTCCATTAATTTCAGTCATCACAAAATGTATATAATTATATTCTAGCATGGAGACATATATCTGCAAATTTAAGTTGCCTATAAATTCACTCTGATGTCAGAAAATTTGTTCAGCAATTTGGAAAAAGGAAATGTGTTTTTTTCCAGTTCTTGAAAAATTAAGCTTTCCAGCAGTTACGTTTCCTTTTTTAGTGGCTTTAATCCAGGAAACAAGTTAATTTCTATCAAATTAGCCATGATTAACTTGTCCTATTTGTTATAAAGGTTTGAACTCCATTAACTGGACTTTAATTGAACAGTTATATGGATATGTAATTAACTTTGTCTGATTTGAAGTCAACATGTTGGCATTTTCATGTTCCAGTCAGTTTATGATTGCTATCATTCAGAGCATTTCACAAAAAAATAGCAAAATAGCTGTCTAATCTAGATGTATATTTACAATTACTATTATTTTACAGTAGGCATTCGCAGCCATATATAATACATATTGTTAGTATTTTCATAAACTATCTGGAGGCAGGAGGAAGTTTTCCCCATTCACAAATGGGAAAAAAAATAACATAATGATGTAGCGTAAAGCTACTTGCCACCCACTTCTAGCCGCTGTACCTCCTAATTATCACCTCTCCGTAATGTTCTCTGAGTTTGGTTGTTTGCTTGCAGACTAATGACATTATCCATGTTAGTGAATATGAGGTTTTATCCATACAGTAGCTTGCCCTGTCAATGTTGGTGGGGGTATTGTTTTCTTCTTGGTATTTCCTTGACTAGGGTATTGTTTTCTGCATGATTGTTTGTCCGATTTAATCCCTCCTTGGGTTTTGGATGGTGGAGCGGTGTCTTATTTATTTATTTATTTATTTATAAATAAACCGCTTTAAGTGCAAGCACTCTCTAAGCGGTGTTCACCAGTAAGCAATGTATATATGTATCTACATTGCCCCCAACAATCTGGGTCCTCATTTTTCTTAGCTTTTTTATTCTCTGTTTTGAATGATGGGTAAATGTGGTTTACCTCTATGTGTCTATTGTTGGTTGATTTGTTTGATGCCAAGTTTCCAGGGATTCTATAATATTTATGGATTTATCTTGGTCTAGGACAGGGGTAGGCAACCTTGGCTCTTTTATGACTCGTGGACTTCAAGTCCCAGAATTCCTGAGCCAGCCATGCCTACCCCTGGTCTAGGATGTTCACAGTTTTCAAGTTGAAAGTACAGTTGAATCTGTCCATGGGTTGGGAGATTAAGGAGTTTTCATCTTATTTTCTGACTGCTAGCTGGTGTTCATGGCTCTGTTCTGTTAGTTTTCTGCCTAACTATCTTACATAGTGGCTGTTACAATCCTTATACTGAATGTTGTGGATGAGTCTTGGTTTTTACTTCTTGGGCTACTGGGTCTTTTGGTTTATATAAGATGTTTTGGATGCTTTAGTTACTGTATATAAACAGCATATACTATATCATCATCATCACCATTATTTTAGCCATTGTCTATCCACCGCAGGATGAAGGCCTCTTCTGAATGTTTCCAACCTTTACAGTCCTAAGCTTTCTTTTTTATATATATAAGGAGGGAGCAAACCCTCATTTACTAGCACTGATGATGTTACCTAGTAGCTCCAAGCAAACAAACAAACTCAGTATCAAGGAATCCTCAAGCTCGGGAATACTTCCTGAGCTACTTATATTCTCTTTTATAGCTACTTCTCCTTCCCTTTGTCATTTTTTTCTGAGCAGGTCAGCACACTAGCAAATAAAACAATGGGCTGCAGCCAGCTACTTATTATTATTTTCAAAGGATGACTATTTTCTTTAGGGCTAATAAGTATACATGCAAGTGGATATGATGTTGGAGACTGGTGTTTTGCTAATCATGTGCTAGTTTCCTATTATTTAAAAAAAAATGTATTTCAAAGCAAGTTACAAAAGGGAAGAGAGACTAGAGGTTCCAAGACTGGTGTCAATAGATATACTCGAGGCAGGGAAGCTTAGCCAAATATTTCTGTTTGTGTTATAATTGCCCAATCCTTTTTTTCTAAGTCAATGAAGAGGAAGTTGATCAAAAAGGCTTTATTTTACCTCTTCTAGTTTAAAAACCCCCATAAAAGAACCCCTTTCCATTTTTCTAGCAAATGCTTAGAAGAAACAAATGGATTTTCCTCTCAGTTTCAATCTGTGGCTGGGGGGGGGGAGGAAGGAAGGAAGTCTTTGAAGCTGCTATAAGAGGTGGTGAGGACCGCTGCAACTGAGTGCATGGCAGTATAATCATGCGGGTACCTAATTGTCCTGCTAGCTAAGTGAAGGAAGCATACCAGTAGTGATGGCATCCAGGAAAATACAGAGCTCTGGGGTTATGTGAAAGATCTCCCCATGTTGTTTAAGGCAAACAACAGGAAGGCCTTGAATACTTAGGAAAACGAAAGAAGCAAAGAGATCTTCAGCCCCTCTCTAACTCCTGCAGCATTGTGAACAAAGAGGAACAGAAGTAAGCAGAGCCTGAAGAACCAGATAACACCAATTGCAGTGACCCTCTTCCATCCTCCCATCAAACAAGGAATTGGGCAGCATCAGTTGCAGCTATTTTAAATGTCACCAGGAGACACTTACAAAGATGATCTTTTGGCAGATGGATCTGGACTAAGTGCCAGCAGCAGTGACCTCGATGGTAGCTAGAAGCCTCATAACACCAAGAAAAGCTGGCAGCAGCAGTAAAAACACTTGATTCAATATTCCTTGTAACATTGTTAAGTTAGTGACAGAAGAATTGAGAAACTTTAGGCAGTGTGTCAGAGGAATAGGAAGTGAACCCTGATAGATCAAAGGAGAAACAAGTCAGTTTTTAGGGTTGGTAATGCTTAGGACCCTGAAGACAGATTTCTGTTGGGTCCAATATATCTACGTAGAAATGGCCAACACCAACATTCCCATGGGTAATTTTCATGAATTTTACACAGCGCTAAATATGCTCATGACATCTCTTCAGAGAAGCTGGAAGAAAAAGAAGCTTGGCAACCTGAATTCCACAAGATCATCAAATGTTTTCTATTATTCTTTTCCCAAGAAAAGAAAAACGAAACACTCACGGATTCTACAGAACACAGAAAGTTCACAACATTAAAATAAAGCAAAGGACTGGATATATGGCTGACAGATCTTTTCCTAAAAATACAAAGGACATCAAATGGGTCAAGGCCCAATTCATTATCTGGATTTTATATCTGGAAATTGAGTGGGAAGATCTGAGCTCCAGCTTTTCAGGTTTGGCAGTGGAATCCATCTTAATATCCAGATGCTCAGGTACCATCTATGTCTACCAAGTGATTTGGTGCACTAATGATGAGATTCTGGAGTTTCTAGCAGAAGGGTACAAATGTATTGTGTAGACCAGGGGTCCCCAACCCCCGGTCTGTGGACCAGTACTGGTCCGCAACATGCCAGCAACTGGTCCGCACAAGCAAGCAAAGCCCCAATCTGTGGAATGCAGGCAGCACACAAAACCACGCCCCCTTTGGTCCTCAAAACACTCTCTCTCCATGGAACCTGTCCCTGGTGCCCAAAAGGTTGGGGGCCTTTGGTGTAGACAAGTAATTTGCCTTATGTTTTGTTCAGCAAATGACATCTCTGTCTTGCCACATTCAGATACCCCACTTCTTCAGAGATCCATGCCGACCCTGTGTTTATCTTCTATTGCACAGGTGTCAAACTCGCAACTTCACGTGACTTGTCATGACATATTGTCACTTTTTCCCCATTGCCGGCAATGGGTGGGCGTGGTTTTGGTGTGACACATCCGGCCCATGGGCTGGCAGTTTGACAACCTTGCTTTATTGGGATATTATGGGAATTGTTATTGCTTCCTGTGATAAGTCTATAATGCTGGGGAAATTGGAAGAAAAGAGAAGAAGAGGATGACAGCAGCAAAGTGATGGACTTGGTTATGACAGCATCAAGTACACCATTAAGAGTCCCAAAAGGTTAAGAACAGTTCTTGTAGAAAACTTAACCAATGTAGTTACTATAAATTGACACCACTTGATAGCACATTATCAGTCAAGAGTCCTAATAATATATTTGAAATGCTCCCGTGGGGTTCAGGAGGCCAGTAATCTTTTCCTTTCTTACAAAAGAGATAATTTGAGAATTGCACAATTCACTGTCAACTTGAATGCATTATGCTGAAATATTCTGACAGTAAGAAACGGCTTTCTTCTAGCATTGCAGCTATACCATCAAAGTAGTCCCGCTAATAGACATCTGTAAGCAAACTGCATGCATGAAATTGTCTACATTCATTAGACATTACCAGACAGACCAGTTTGCCTCAGCAGATGCTACTTTTGGTCACATGGTTTTAAAGAAGGTGCTTTAATTTTTAGTCTCCCTCTCTAAGAATACTGCTGCAGTATGTACTTTTGTTCTCCACTCTGTTTTTGGTGAGGAAAGTGTTGTGGAGCTTAACTGCAAATTATTCTTCAGATTCCTAAAAGATGGATTCAGCCTTCCCACCTTGCAATCAGGGACAGGAATCAGTATAAGCAACTGGAAGTCAGATTCCTCAGTGTACTGTTTACTATAAGGATGTGATAACTGATGGATATTGTCCTTTCCTACATGTCTACATTCCTCTTGTCAGTTGCAAGCAGTTGCAGGGATTATGTAGTTAAAAGAAAAGTTTTATTACAAACAGTTGAAGCCAGTGCTCTAAAGCAGTGGTTCTCAACCTTTTTAATGACGTGACCCCCAACCGGTCATAAGTCGAGGACTACTCAACCGGTTGTAAGTCAAGGACTACTCAACTGGTGCAGCACTGTTTGCAGAATGGGACTTTTGGTGGGCTCAGCAGGGCAGAGACAGCCTGGACAATTCCTATTGGCTTTTGAAAGCCAATAGAATTAGACTCTATTCAAGAGAGTTTATTCTATTGGTTTTCAAAAGCCAATAGAATAAAAGGGAGTAGCACAGCTAAGGAAAAGGGGGGAAAAATGGCAGACTGCGTTGTTTGGCGACCCCCGTGAAATGGTCGTTCGACCCCAAATGGGGTCCCGACCCACAGGTTGAGAACCACTGCTCTAAAGTGACTGAAGGAGGGTTTCCTTCTTGGAACAGGAAGAAGTCCTATCAGAATAGGTAGACTTAATCTTTCTGTAGGGTTTCATTCTGGGATCAGAAGAGTAGTTTACAGTAAATTCAGCTTCTCCTTTTTCTTAATGCAGGTCAATTTTATTGTGTGTATGCTCTTGCTATGCTCTGATCTTTTAAGCAATCTTTTTAAATGTTTTACAAGGTTTTTTTTTCTGATTTTCAAAGCAGTTATTCAAACAAGAAATTGAATGCTATGCTAATATCTACTGTTTCATGTTCTAGTGGTTCTTGGCAAATTTCTCTTATCAAGAAGCACTTTCAGACACTCAAGTGGCGATAGTTAACATTCTGTCATCAACCTCTGGTAAGAAATGAAGATATATTCTAAAACTGTTGTCATGCTTCATTCAAATGGCCTCTTTGCATATTTAAGAAAAATACAGTTATCTATTCCGCATCACTTTTAATGAGGGAGAGAGTGATGTTGAAGGGTTTGTTTTTTTTAAAAAAGGCAGCCATGGGGTGAGGTAGCCCATGTCATTATTAAGAGTTCAGGTTCAACAAGCAGACCTGTAGAGCAGGGGTGTCAAACTGCTGGCCCACGGGCTGGATGTGTCATGCCGAAACCGCGCCAACCCCATTGCCGGCAATGGGAAAAAAAGTCGCGATATGTCGCAACACGTTGCGAATTTGACAACCCTGGTCTAGAGGTTTATTCAGCAGCTCATCAGTGGGATTGTTTTGAAAGCCACACTGATTATTATTGAGCAATGATTCCCATATTGTGATGGCAGTAACAGTAAAGGTGAGTGTCTATGTGATTATTACAATTTCTGCAATATTTGCTTTTGCTGAATAAGCGTTGGGACATAAGAAAAATCAACAGGGCAACATACAGTACTAAGAAAACATTTTTGCATAAATTTGAATATATTGGTATTTTGTTTGTTTGTTTGTTTATGAAATGTATTGGCTGCCCATCTTACCACAGTGTAAGATTTATATGCTACTAAACTGTAATCACCTATTGGTGGTATACAACAAAATAAAGCCAAAGGTCTATAAAATCAGCAGATCTAAATAAAGTCGGTAAATAGAAAGCAATTAAATAATTAACAATTAAAGTGTTCAGAGTTAGTAGTGAAACAATTAACAAATCAAATCCAGTTCCAGGTGTCACTCAGTCTCCAAAATGTAAAAGAGTATAGTTTTCATACTTTTCCAAAAGCCAACATCATTCATTTGTAAATGAGATAAATAAAAATAATAATAAAAGCTTTGTTAAATAAAAATTAACTTGATTTCATTTCTTTCTGTAACAAATATATACGAATCGGAGACATTCCATTTTTAAAGAAGGATTATTATTTTAACTTTACTTAAAGAAATGCTACTAGTATTTTGTTTTAATAAAATAAAGTGACTAAGAAATCCAATATAATATGTTGTAACAGATTTTACATTGTAATTTCATTTAATCTGGATCTAACCATTATCTTTTGATTATTATGTTTTTAGTCTTGTTTTTATTTGATCATGCACAGTATTCTTTTGTTGTTTTCACAGGATTATTTACCTTAATCCTTGCTGCAGTGTTTCCAAGTAATAGCGGAGATAGATTTACCCTCTCAAAATTGTTAGCTGTCATTTTAAGGTAGGAATATAGACTCCTTAATCTTCAATTTTCTTCTCCCCAACAGGCTTGAGTTTTCTTATGTTCTTCTAGATAGTTGGATTTAGTAGTGGAGATTTTGTTACTATTTTTAGATACAGCTAGTTGTATACAGTTACATGAAAAATTATTGAAAGTAATTTACAGAATGTGCTAGAAATACTGCTTCTGTATTGCCACTGCCCTGCTAAAGGGGCCGTGTCTCACCTGCATTATTAGCCATCTGAGTTTTGTTAGTTTAATATTACCAAGTGAACTTCTTAAAGCAGATAATTTTGTGAAGATTAAGTTCACATGTGATATTAAACTATTGTTTCACATTTACTAACCATGTTTTATGGAATAAACTATGGTGGCTGGATTCATACAATACACAAATTAAAACCAAATACAAGTAGTCTTCACTTACTAACCACAATTGTGACCGACAACTCTGTTGCTAAGCAATATGGATGCAAAGTGAAAGATAAGTGACCATGCCAATTTATGTTAGTTCCAGTTGTGGCTGTTAAGCAAGTCACCCTCAGAATGATGTCACATGACCGTGACTTGTGACTTCCTCCCGGCTTCCCACTAATTTTGCTTGTCAGATGCTGGCCTTGAAGGCTGCAAATATATGACCATGGGAGACTGATAGTTGTAAATGCGTACCCATGGCCAAGGGCCTGACTTGGAGTCTTGTAATTATGGGGATACTGAGATTTGCCACAACTTCAAGGACCTGTTATAAATCTTTTTCAGTGCTGTCGTAACTTTGAATAGTCATTGAATGAGTGAACAATAAGCAAGGACTATCTGTAAACCATACTGTGCAAACAAAGCCATGATTTGGATACCTGTGTAAATGTTTGTTGGTTGGAATTATATTCTTTTTGTTGGTTGGAATCATATTCATGCACATCACTCTAAGCATGGTTTGTTTTAAGTTAGCTATACTGGCTAGGACAGGGGTAGGCTGGGCTAGGATCTCATATCTGGCTCATCAATTTCAGTTTCATGTGAAAAAACTGTGACTTGTTGGACAAACAACAGTGACCTAATTTGAACAATGATAAACATAGAGGTAGGCCTCCATTTACAACCATTTATTTATTGATTGTTTGAAGTTACAACAGCACTGAAATAGTGACTCATGACTGGTTTTCACACATACAACTGTTGCAGCATCCCCATGGTCATGTGATCAGAATTCAGGTACTTGGCAACCGGCATGCATTTACAATGGTTGCAGCATCCCGGGGTCATATGATCATCATTAGTAACCTTTCCAGCTGGCTTCTGACAAGCAAAGCAAATTGGGGAAGCTGGATTTGCTCAACGACCACATGATTCACTTACCAACTGCAGTGCTTTGCTTAACAACTGTGGCAAAGAAGGACATAAAATGGGGCAAAGCTCACTTAACAACTGCCTTGCTTAGCAGTGGTCTCAGTGGTATTCGTAAGTTGAGGTCTACATTGATTTAATGTAATGATTACATTTAATCATGTAATACATTGATTTACTCTCTACAATTAAATCATGGGATTGATTTAAAACGGGCTGTGAATCCAGTCCCAGGGAGCAAAAGTGTTGTGATCTACTAGAAGAGGAATGTAGAAGAGCAGAGTTCATAATCCTAGGCTTGTTTGTGTACCATACACATTCACATTGCTTAATGTTATCCCCCCCTTTATGGATTACTGCCTTGTCATGGCGAAGGGGCTTGTGTAACTCAATGAAGCTATAAGCTATGCCGTGCAGGGCCACCCAAGATGGACAGGTCATAGCAGAGAGTTCTGACAAAATGTGATCCACTGGAGAAGGAAATGGCAAACCACTCCAGTATCTTTGCCATGAAAACCCCATGGACAGTACTAAAAGGCAAAAAGATATGACACTGGAAGATGAGCCCCTCAGGTCGGAAGGTGTCCAATATGCTACATTGGTAGAGGACAGGAAGACCTGAAGGAAGGTTGTCCATGGGGTCGCGATGGGTCGGACACGACTTCGCAATTAACAACAACAACAACAAATGTTATCCCCTCCCACCAATCATCCCAGGCATTCATTTATTGCGGACAGTAATCTCTAGCAAATCAAAAGAGTTGAAATCGTACAGGAATTTAAAACTTTGCAAACATGAATGCTCCACCTTACTCCGTTTCACCCATATTTGCACTAACCTCCTGATGGGCACCTAATCAGAAGTGGTGAGGGAAAAGATATAAAAAGATATAAAGGATATAACCCTTTATTCTAGATTACGCTGGACAAAATTCTGTGAAGAGCCTCCTGCCATGCAGGTGATGTGATCCTCTTCATGGAAGTAAAATGTCTGTGCAATTTGCTTCAGTGAGGCACTTTGTGTGACCTGGGTGTTTTCCTCTTTGCAGTATGACTCTTGCAGCTTTGCAAAGGCTGATCAAAGCTGGAGGAGTCACCTCTGCAAGTACTGCAGTGAGGCAAATCCGTAAAGCGGAGCAGAGGGAAGCAACGTGGTAGTTTTTTTTTTCCAACTTGGCTTTTAGGGCCACATTGATTTGTAAAGCAGGTTCTGGTTGGGAGTGTGGTGCTTGGACCTTCATGAAAGGGAAACACTCCTTCAAAACTTTGCACAGCTTGCTTTGTGTGTGCTTGACTTCTCCTAGAGAGCACTATGGAAAAAAGTGATCGCCTTAATAATGAGGTGCACCCATTGTGCTTCTGTAAGGTTTCTATTTTCTACTTTAATTTTTCCCAAAAGCAGGAAAAAAAACCCCGTCCCAATATAAATACTAGTGCCATGTCCTCTGTGGCACATGGAAACAGAACCAAAGCAACCAAGCTCAGCCGTCAACTCTTAAATCAGTGGTTCTCAACCTATGGGTCGGGACCCCATTTGGGGTCGAACGACCATTTCACGGGGGTCGCCAAACAACACAGTCTGCCATTTTTTCCCCCTTTTCTTTATCTGTGCTACTCCCTTTTATTCTATTGGCTTTTGAAAGCCAATAGAATAGACTCTCTTGAATAGAGTCTAATTGTATTGGCTTTCAAAAGCCAATAGGAATTGTCCAGGCTGTCTCTGCACTGCTGAGCCCGCCAAAAGTCCCATTCTGCAAACGGTGCTGCACCAGTTGAGTAGTCCTCGACTTACGACCGGTTGAGTAGTCCTTGACTTACGACCAGTTGGGGTCGTGGCATTAAAAAGGTTGAGAACCACTGTCTTAAATGTATAGTCATTTTGATTCGTAAACCATGGTTTATCACTGATGGTATATGGATTAATGGTCTATTCAAATAAGCCATAATTAGTTTCACATGGTGTATGAACTCACCCCCTGAGAAGTGGCTAATCCCAAGCCTAGTTTGTTATTTATAGAGAAATATTCATGTCATAATCCTCCCCCCATTTTTCATCTTGTCTTGACGTGCTGCACTTGGAGATGGTTTCTGCTAATCTATAATCTTCCTTTCTACTTCTCCAGGTCATTATACTTGCAAAGAAATGTTGTTCTTTTTCCTTTAAAATACTCTTTTTTCTGTAATGTTAAGAAAATTCGCTATTTAGTCCATGTAAATTATATATAATTTCGAGGACCATTGAAATACAACAATGTGTGGTATTAAGGCAATTATAAACAAAAGTGTTAACACTTTCCATACAAACTGTTTGACTAAATTAACTAGAATATAATGCTTTATTTCTAAAATAGCATTGGAGGTGTTGTTCTTGTGAATTTGTCTGGATCTGAGAAATCGGCAGGAAGAGATACAATAGGTATTTTTTTAATTCTTCACATTAACTTGAAGTGCTTGAGGAATATTGCTTTATGTTTTTATTCAAAAAAATGACAAAAATATATAAAGAGTAGAAAGTTAATTGTAATAGCTGAATCTGTAGTGATATTTGTATGCCATTATGAGGAGTAAGAGGCAAAAATGCCTCTGAATAAATACTGTAAATGTCTATAGTAGAGTATTCATTTTGAAAGAATCTTGGGTTGTTGTTTTTTTAAAAAAAAGTGAAATAATTTGCTGCAGGATCCTACCATTTTTCTAATTTTGCATACATTATTTATTTCAATAAAAACACCTTTAATAGCCTGTTAAACAAATAGACTATATTTAATTAATCCAGTGGCAATGCCTTGCTTTACCTTATTTGCAGGATCTCTCTGGTCTCTGATGGGAGCTATGCTGTATGCAATCTATATAGTTATGATAAAACGAAAAGTTGACAGAGAAGATAAACTCGATATTCCAATGTTTTTTGGTAAGAATGAATTTTAAGGCATCTTTTTTTCAATTTAGGATTGAATCTGGAACTTGATTAGGTTCTGCAAAGTATACTTTGCGATGTAAGACTAACCCTTTGTTGTGATCTGTTTGTTTATTCTGTTCCTGCAGGTTTTGTTGGCTTGTTTAACTTGCTGTTGCTTTGGCCAGGCTTCTTCCTACTCCATTATACTGGATTTGAGGTCTTTGAATTTCCCAATAAATTAACCCTAATGTGCATAGTCATTAATGGCCTTGTTGGAACTGTCCTGTCTGAATTCCTCTGGTTGTGGTATGTTTGTTGCTTTGATTATTAGGTTTCTTAACAACAATCTATATACTATAAGGCCAACAGATGAAATTGTTTTTTCCATAATGTATGTTTTGGAGACTGCTGTCTTTACCAAGTATTGATTATGATACAATACTGTGTATTGAAGAGCATCATTCCCTTCATCCTCTGTTGCCATCTCCCCAGACCAATGTTGCTTATTAAATATTAAAAGCTAGAATGTGATTTTACATATCAGGGTATGTAAATCATATTTTAAAAAGCCTTTACAGTTGGACCCACAAATTATGGCCACAATTTGGTTAACAAGACATTAAGGCTGAGTTAACACATCAAACTATATTAATGTACTGCTTAACACAATGTGTATTGTAATGGTTTCAGTAATCATCACAACATAAGACATGATATGACATGTGGCTGCTTGTCCAGACTCAGTGGATATTAATTTCAGGTGATTGGGATTGACCCTAGAATGCTAGTGTACGATTTTGAAATTTGTGCATTTCCCAATAAACCTAAGGCTATAGGGACACCACAAATGAAGCCAAATTACATCAACTTAATAATAGCAGGTGCAATTTTATTGCCAATTCTTTGCTTGGAGAAGATAGCTGGCCATAGATGAATGGCAACAGAAGAGAAGGAGAAGTTTATCCATAATTAAAAGAACTAAGTTCTATCTGCATGTGCATGTTTTTTTAAACAGAACCATTATGTCTAGACATATCTTACAAACATTTTCTAATTAGTTTGAATTGATTCCTTAAAATCAAATTATGGATATTCACATTTGGAGGATAAGGCTGTGTAAGTGTTGCTATCTCTGCATGTAGATGACTTAGTCTTTCACCAGATTGTCATTCAATCAGTAAACGGTGAAAATCTTCATACCGGTATATGAATTGCTATAAAGATAAGAACAGTATATCTTTGGCATAATACCTTAGCCTGAGTCTGAAGAAATGAGATAGATAGAGAGACAGACAGAGAGACAGATACATGTAGTTCTTGTTTAACAACTACCTCATTTAGCAACCACTCATGGTTTTGAAAAAATAACTTTGTGGCCAGTCCTCTCATTTATGACCCTTGCAAATCTGTAAATCAAAGGAAAGCTGAAATAAGGTCATAAGCACAGTTGCAGTTTCACTAAGTTCCTGGTCCCAATTGTGGTTGCTAAATGAGGAGTGCCTCTTTGAAACATGTCAGTATATGTTAGCAGCAGTTACAGATAGCAAGTACACTTTTTGGAATCAGTTATTCTAGATGCATAACATTAGACTTCATTAACTGAAAATCTTGAGGTTTAGCGGAGGAGATAGTTACCCTTTTACTTCTTTGACAGGTTTCACTAAGCCCTGATATGACACGTGTGGCAAATTAGCATATATGATATGCAAATTAAGGTGTTAAACAGAAATACATGGTAGGACTAGAAAGATCTGATCAATAAATTAAGACGAAAATTATGAGTTTCCTAAGTATAACTAGACCAAAGTACCTACAAATTCTGCAAAACTCTGGTATACACTTGTGAAATTTGTTTCTGTGCCTTTTTTTTTTTTTTTTTTTAAGTCTTTGTATTTTAACATTTTTCCAGGGGCTGCTTTCTTACCTCATCATTGATAGGAACACTTGCCCTGAGCCTTACAATACCTCTGTCCATAATTGCTGACATATGCATGCAAAAGGTAATGCAAATTGTATTAAAGGCAGTGGTAAATATAATAGGAAATTCCAATAGAAATTTTTAAAATTCAAATTTTTTAAAATTAAAAACCAAATTAACTTTCTTATGTTTTAAATTTAAGAAAATCTTAAAAATTCCTAGTGGAATCTTCATGAACAAAAAAGAGTTCTAATGCTGTTGCAAAAATAAATGTATTTAATTGTAGACAATAGGATTTGCTAGCCCATCAAAAAATTTTAATGTTGTTGTTGCTGTTCTTGTTATTATTTTATCCTATCTTTTTATATATAATTTGAGGCAGTGAACATATTTAATAATCTTGCCTCCTATTTTCCCTCGCAACAGTCCTGTAAAGTGATTTGGGCTGTGAGTGAGTGACTGGCCTGAAGTGACCCTGACAGTTTTTATGCTTAAAAGAAGCCTAGAACTCACAGTCTCCCATTTTCCAGACTGGCATATTAACTACTACACCAAATTGACTCTCCATTCATAAAGCACAGGTGTTTGCAAGCAACAAAAAGACTATAACACAAACCCACTATTTTCAGAAAGCCTCAGATAGATGCCCATGGTGTTCACTGTAAGTTCCCCAAATGAATTACTTTGCTAAATAGAGTGTTATCTCCCCCTTGTGGTGTTTTGCTTCAGGAATCAGAATAAGGCAGGATGTAATGGTAGCTGCAATCAGTTGTGTGCTAATTCAGGGTCCCCAACCTGTGGGCCGTGGCCCACTACCGGACTGAAGCCTATTTGCAATCAGGCCATGTGAGTGGTGGGTTGGCGCATGTGCATCTCCACTTGTATGAGTGGTGCCTCAAAGCTTCTCTCGTGTGAGTGGAGGTACACATTCACACATGCTGACCCACCACTCATGGGGCCTGGTTCCCCTCTCCCTCCCCCCCAGCTGGGCCGCCAAGCTGCAAAGGTCGGGGACCGCTGTGCAAATTCACTCATTTATTAACTATTTATTTTATTTTTATCCTACCTATTATTTATATAAATAACTCAAGGTGGCGAGCATATCCAACACACCTTCCCCCTCCTATTTTCCCTACAATCACCCTGTGAGGTGGGTTGGGCTGAGAGATAGTGTGATTGACCCAAAGCCACTCAGGCTGGCTTTCATTTAAACCAGTAATTGTTACATCATGAACATAAATTTAAAATATACTTATAGAGTAGGAGGGATTTTATTGAATTTAGACTGTTATTTTCATATAAAAGTTATTAGATAGGGACGTGTTTTTAAAAAGAAAATTTAAACAGGAAATTTCCAGGAAAACAAAGAAGCAAAAGCCTCAGTTCCTGAATCACTGAAATATCTTACTAGCAACAGTAGAAATATCATCTGTTCTCCATATTTACTTCTAATGTTGGTAAAATTTGCCCTCACTGTGACACTTTCACTCTAAAGTGAGATATTTCATAGATAGTGTGAAATTAGCATTTAATGCAGCTGTCAGTTTTAACTGTCAGCTGTAGCCTTGGTTGATGTCTAAGTTACTCACACAGTTCTGCCTCTTAAATTAAAGGATTCACACTTTATCTGGTGTCCTTTCCTGAAATGTTTCTCATCCCAAGTATGAGATTATTTTATCCTGCAGGCTTTATTCATTTTTACCACTTTAACCATCCAAACTGTAAAGTTCATCCATTGCCAAAACAGATCAAACATTTCTAGCTGTAAAGATCTGCATAGTTGTTTCAGGAACTTGAAATTTGTAACTAATTTAGAAGAACCACCAAAGAAGTATGACCTCCCTTTTGTGGAAAGCAGCCTCATCCTTTTCCGCATTTGATTTCATTTGAATGAACACCATATTTCATCATTAGAGAAACACGCCAGAGAGCCATATGCTTCTGTACTCTTTCTTTCTTCTGATACAACTGCAGAGAGCCGAGAGAAACCCATTGTTGGGTGAATTCAAATTAAACACACAATGAAAAATATTTCAACTCTCTGTTTAACAGTAGGGCATGAGGAGTGGGAAGCATGTGACTACAAGCTTCAACCATAACCAAGGCTGATGTCATGATGGAGCTTAAGACTCCAGATTGGATAGACATTACTGTAATCAAGATTTACTTAAGATTCTGGCTATATATTTCTCTCATGTTCCCTTTTCCTTTCAGCTCCCTGCTGCCCTCCAAATGTCTCTTTCCTGACCCAAATTTGTGGGATATTTGTCTTTCCATTAACCTACTTTTACTCTTGATAACATATCAAATTGATCTTTTAATTTCAGGTCCAGTTTTCTTGGTTATTTTTTGTAGGGGCAATCCCTGTATTTTTTTCCTTTTTCATTGCAACACTTTTATGTCACTACAACAACTGGGATCCAGTAATGGTGGGAATTAGAAGAGTTTTTGTATTTATCTGCCGAAAACATCGTATTCAGAGGTAGGGTGATTTATTTGCTTCTTTCCCATCCACTTCATCTTGCTTCCCTTAATTTTTCAACTACGTCTTTACTGTATCTTAGTTTCTACCACAAATCGTTTCAAAATGAAATTTATAAAGATCTTTCTGAACTTTGCAGGATCTGGTTTTAAAACTGTCTGAATGATATGCTTTCCTTCTACCTTGACCTAAATACTAGAACATTGAATATCTTATTATTATAATTATTTTCAGTAGTATTTTGGTGTGTTATTATAAGAAACATTCTTTTCTTGACATCATTCTAGAGAGTTCTGTTTTTAGTCGTTTAAATGAACTTGCTTGAATAACTAGTATAAGAGAAGCTCTCAGTATTACTCCAATTGCTACAAAATTTTAAGTCCAGTATTGCTTGTCCTTAACAATTTCTTATGGGAGATGTAAAGTAATATTTATCCCATTGATATAGATGTGTTCTTTACAACATAATATTATGGATAAATTTTAAAAGTCTCACAAGTCTGTAATGTCTTATAGAACATCTGAAGAAAGCGAACAGTGTGAAAGTCTCATTGCAGTTCATAATGTTTCCCAAGAAGATGGAGAATGTGGTTGTTCTTAGGCAACAAGTACGTAATTGTAAATTAACTTCATCCTGTGCTAACAGAGAAACATGCTAATATATTGACCTGGAATGAGTCCCTCCCTTTAGTTCAAGCCTAGCTGAAGGCCAGTCCTTCCCAGCCCCATTTTAGAGGACTCATAAACAATATCTTTAATCTTGATGAGAATCTTATTACAAAATAATTTTATAATTAAATAAAATAAAAGGAAATAATTGCTCATTACAGTCCTAAGTAACCATGCCAAATATTTTAATTTCCATGGTGCAAGTCAAGTCATATGCGGAAAAAGTACCTTCCATTTTCAAGACACGGACTAAAATACTGAGCAGGATGGTACACGCTTGCATCCTGGGTATCAGTTAATCATCAGTAACAAGTTTAATTATTATAAATTAGACTATCTTGTCAAAGAAATGTATACTGTGATATAAGAACATTAATGATATGTTTTCCCATTTTTTTGAATAGTGTAAAATGTCATGAAAACTCAGCGAAGAGACAATCACTTGGAAAGTCCTCTTGGAATCATGTTTCAGTACCTCTTCTGAATCTTTAAATGTTTCAGTTCTTTTGAAACTTAAAAATATACAGATTCTTTTTCAGTTTCCAGTATTTAACCAGTTAGAGGAAATGCCAATCCTTTACGAAAACCAGCTTGCCTTATAGAACTCAGCTGGTGAAATTACTTGACAAATCAAAGAGAATGCTGTTCTAATGATTTTCTTTTTAAAAAAAGAAAACATATTTTTGTTGAGTGCTGGAGATTTTTACAAATACTTTTCATCTTCTGTAAAAAATCATAATTTTGTAAAAATTTTCAAATGGAAAGATAAAACACCAGTTTACCTGTAATAGGTACGAATTATCATTTTGTGATGTATAAACTCTACTTGAATAATGAAAAAAAAACAATTTATTGAATAACTTTATTATTGCAGAAGTTATTGTGGCTTTCAAATACTATACATATCTTCATATATATGAAAGCATTGGTAATCATTTGGGTGCCTTGTGATATCTATTGTCATAATAAATTCAAGATTTAAAAAAATAATGTACAAAGATAGTTACAAGTACTGTCTCACTTTTGTAGATAAAACTTCTTCATAATATGTTACTATTTGCCTCATAGACTTTTTACACATTTTCAAATTAAATCATTTTGCATTCCATTGAAAACAATAGATTTTTGGGTAGAATGCAAAATAGATCAGTTTTGCACCTGTGGAATATGGGCTAATGATGTATGGCTGAAAACTGTGTGATTCAAAGCAAAGAGGTGAAATCTAGAGCCAGGTTCTTACATAATTGATTTTCTTACACATTGGATATGTCAAGATTCCATGCCTTAATGATAGAAACATTTTGAATTGAGACAGTTTGTAAATCAGCTTTATCGCTTTTAGGAAGCAGTGTAACAAAAAAGAAAATACAGGTAGTGACCTCGAGAATTTCCATTGCTTCATGATGCAGTCATCAATTGTGATGTCACATGATTGCATTGCTTACTGACAGCAATCCTGGCTGTCCGGATGCCATTGCAATCCTAGGACTGGTTCAATCATTAAGCGAGGACTGTGGCAAAAGATGGGAATCCCAGGCAGGTGGGCTGAAGGGAGTGCACTAAGGAAGGCAGGCAGGCCAGTACAACAGGGAGGTGTGAAGGAGGATGGCTGGGCGGGCAGCTGGATGCTGGGGCCCCACTGGGAAAGGAGGTGGCCAAAGCGGCAAGTCCTCTGTGTCATGTATCACTACTGGCCAGGGCTATCCTTCCACTGGACAGCAAGGCGGGGATGTTTCTATGGGGCTTCCTTCAGGCGAGGATATCTGGTGGTGATTCATAATAGCTCCTCAGCCAAGGGCTTCTTACATGACAAGGCAGCTGAAGGAATAGGGGCAGGCAGCAAGGGTGGTTGTAAATGTGAACCAGCCAAAATTGTGTTCACATGACTTCAGGTGTCCTGTGATGGCCAGAACTTGGAAGACTGGTCATAATTCCATTTTTTCAGTGCCACTATAATTTTGAATGGTTGCTTAACAAATAGATGTAACTCGAGGATTACCCTACAGCATGCTGATTGAAACAGGGAAAGAACAAAACTATTCCTTAACAACTATAGAAGCTTTCCCCCACACACAGAATAAATGTGATTATTTTAAAATGGAAAATACGTATAGACCATTCAATTGGAACAAGTTGCAAAAGTCAATGGAATTTTATCTGCATAAAAGTAGTTCTCGTTTAGCAATCGCAACTGGGATTGACAACATGGTCATTAAGCAAAGTGGTCACTAAGTTGAAACTGCAAATCTGCTTTATTTTACAGATTTGCAAGGGTCATAAATACGAGGATTGGTCATAAAAATTACTTTTTTATCACTGTCATAACTGAACCCTTGCTAAAGAAGGAAGCAGCTAAATGTGGGTTACCTGTATTACAGATAATTGCATTGAACCAGCCCAAGGTGGTTCACAAAGCCTAATAGAGCTATTTTCTTTACATTCTGAATACAAAAGGAACTGGAAAAATAATACGTTGGGTTAGGAGAGGCTTTGATTTGATCAACCATAACTTTTACATTACACAATGATGCACAACATTCTTCATATCATTATGGAAAGGAATGCTGGAAATGGAAGCACACCTATGGATTTCCTGTGATTCCCAAGCGATACTCTTGGACAAAAAAGCTTTTCGGATACCAAAGAGTCCTCCAACTTGCCAAAAGATCACATCCACAGGGATCAAACCTTTATATGACTTCTGCTGACTGTAGGTCAACTTCTGAATACAGGCAGTCCTCAACCTACCACTTTTAACAATGGTTCAAAATTATGCCATCCTTGGTGGGGGAATGACACATTTATGACCATCGCACCACCTCTGTGGTCACGTGATTGCAATTCAGGTATTTGGCAACCAGCTTACATTTGTGACTGGTTGCAGCATCCTGTGGTCATGTGATTATCATTTGCGACCTCTTCTGATTTTCCAGCAAAAAATACCCATTGGGGAGGCTGACCTTGCTTAATTGCCGTTAATTAATTATCATTGTAAAAATTGTCATAAAAACAGGCCTGATTTGGCTTACAACCACAACTTAACAACAGAAACTCTGCTCCCAATGGGGGTGGAACGTCAAGGGTTCAGCTGCACAAGATGCTCTACATATGGAAAAGGATGTTGCTAAAAAAATGTTGACCTCAGGAAGTACTTTCACTATATCCTGTGGAATCGTTTACAGGTAGTCCTCAAGTTATGACCATTCACTTGGCAACCACTGCGCAGGGCAATAAGGCTGGCAGAAGCAGTGGAGCGCAAGGTGGCCCAAAGGGCAGAGAGGGGAAGAGTTGAAGAGAAGCCAGTGACTTGCCTTAGGGAAGCTCAAGGCTAGGAGGGACCAAGCTGAGAATGGCTTGAATCTGGGTGGATCCTCACTTAACAACCAGTGGAATTCGGTTAACAATGACAACAAGTAATGCCGAGATTCCCATTGCTAATGGGTCACATGACATCACGCTTTATGGGTGCATCTCTTAGTGATGGAAATATCTGAATTTATTTACACTGAGTTAATGTTGGAGACACAAAGACAGTCTCCCTTTATATTTTAGTAACCAGAAGTGGATATCTATAATTCTTAAAATTTGTTAGCTTCAAGTGTAAAGGAATCCTCTCTGTTGGATAAACTTATCAACAGAAATAAAATATTATTTCCGCCAGAGCTGTCAGTACTGTCTCCAAAATTTCTGCAATTACACTAGACATATTTTAGGGTAAAGGGGGAAATCTAAAATTATCCCATCCTTTTGCCAGTGGAATCTTCCTGTGGATGGATTTATTCTCCTAGATATTTTAAGATCAAAGCCAGCAGTTTTACTGGAAAAATATCTGAAGTGATATTTCACTGCCTATACAGTGAAACATTTGGGCATAAACCCAAAACAAATAAAGGTTAATTCAAGAAGGTTTTTGATTGTATCTTGTTTTGTCTATTTCAATTATTTTTCAGAATCAATATGTGTGTGTGTATGTCTTATTCATACAATTTTGTTTTCAGATTTCAAACAAGCTTTAAAAAGAAATAGACAGGCGTTACTTTGTGTAAAAAAAACTGATAGAAGGTTCATGGCAAGTGCTGTGCCTTTGATTCCTTTCGAACTGATTTATAATTGCCTCTTGATAACACTGCAGCCATTCACGGGCATAGATTTTTCTCCAATAAAATGATTAAATTGCTTGAGAAAGATGAATTTGCACAACCTGCTCTCAGACAAACTCCACTTAGCCAACGCAAGCATGACCCACCCACTGATTCCATGCCTCCACCTGAGTTTCAAAGGCAACCAATACTGAGCTGTTCAAAGACAGTTTTCTTGTGCATCTGACAATGTATTTTTCCCTATTATCTTGGCTCAAGATTCTCCCTGCAGGTAGAGTAAATGTTGACACATTTTGAAAAAATAACTTGAAAGGTTGTTTTTCCATGTCAATAATGTGACTCCAGTTGGTTCTGTGGATTGTCTCTTTCTCTCTGATCCTGGACATTTTCCCCCATTCCGTCTTCCTCTTTTGGCTGTGGAGCGAGATCCCAAGCTCCTTTGATGTCAGGCCCAAACAACCAAGAATGACATGAAGAGTTACTTCAGAGTAGTTCTTTACTGCTGCTCACCCATAGACAGAAATCTCGCCAGACTAAAGCACTTATCTGCCTAACTGTTAGATATCTCCTGTGGACTACTAGGGTATATTTGCTCTTCCTGCAGACCAAAGATCTCTATTGAATGATTCTGTAATTTCCTGGATCCATTTTTTTTCCTTTTTTGAGGATGGGAACTACATCAGCTCTTTTCCAGTCCTCTGGTAGTTCCCCTGTGTTCCAGGATCTTTGAAAAATATAGTTCAGTGGCCCGATATCACATCTGCCAGTTCCTTGAGAACTCTGGGGTGTAATCTCTGGTCCTGGCGATTTGAACTCATCTAGGCTGGACAGGTGCTCACTCATTTTCTTGCCTATCTTAACTTGTGTACTATTTTTGACTGTTTTTTCCCTTTGTGTAAAGACAGATGCAAAAAATGAGTTAAATAGTTCTGCTTTCTCCCTGTTGCTTGTCACCTTCTTGCCACTTGGACCAATCATTTCCTTCACTTTTTTCTTGTTTTTTACATTTGAAAGAAGCATTTTTGACTTTGGTCGCAGCCTTTCATTTTGTTCGCATAATATTCACTTACACGGTTCTAAAACTAACAATCTTGCCCCACTTCTTCACACAATGGAAAATGTAAGATGTTGTGCTTCCTCTGCATTTTCCTTTCCTTGTTTCATTTTGCAGTCAGGGCACAATGCTGCTGCTATTGGGGGTTCCACTCTATCTATCTATGTCATCTTTCTATCTATCCATCCATCCATCCATCTATCTCTATCCATCTATACAGTAGGAAGAGACATATTCATGCTTGTATTTGGATGTTGGGAATAAGTAGATTATTAATAATTTGAAAAGAAACCTGAGGCAACTGAAGGAAACTTGACATTTCATTTTCTATCCCACTCTGGCTATGAAGAAGCTGGATCAGGGAACTGGCCTCTACAGGGTAGGCCTAAGCAAGCGGGCATCGGAAGAGCCCTAAACCTTGCCACACTGGAATCTGCCTGTAGAAATGCTATAGTAATAGACATTATGTCTGATTCTGAAAAAAAATTCATTCTCAGTCTGAGGAAGGAGAATACAAACTTGCAATTTGCAAAGTGCTTTTACATATCAGAGTTCTTATATCCTAGGACAGACATGTCAAACACAAGGCCCGGGGGCCGGATGCAGCCCGCGAAGTGGTTTCATGTGGCCTGCAAAGCCATCCTGGAAACAGTGAGGGAACAGCCCCCGCTGCCTTGGCCCTGGCCCAGGCTGGCCGGGAGCCAATGTACAATTTTGTGGTGGCCATCTATGCTGAAACACATTCAGTCTTAGCTCCACAAGGCTGTCTGGAAACAGTGAGGAACCAGCCCCTGCTGTGTCGACCCTGCCCCCTGGTGCATGCTGGGGAGGTGTCACCCTTTGTGAGAATGAAGAAATGGACCATGCCTTGGCGCTTGCCCCGTTCCCACCCCCTTCTGCCAGAGACCCTCAGATCTGTCCCACTCCTGCCCAGGCCCCACAGGCACCCTTGACGCAAACAATGTAGAGCTGGCCATACCCACCCAGTAGGCCACACTCACTCCATCCATGCCCACCCAGTAGACCGCACCCACCCTGGCTACACCACCCCACCCCGCCGAGGGCAACCACAATGCTGATGCGGCCCTCAATGAAATTGAGTTGACACCCCTGTCCTAGGAGAAGGTGCTACCTTACCTACCTTCATTTTGATACCTGATACCGTTCAGTCTTTGGAGAACTGTCTTTCTTAATCTGTTTCTGGTTCACTGCTGAAAACCATTTGGATGGGTACTCATCCAAGAATATTTGCATAACTAATAAGGGAGAGTGTAATCATCTTCCAGTCTATCAAGACTAAATTCCATGCCCTTGCTTCTAATTTGGACATTCCCATTTCAGGCCTGAGGGCTGCACTCTTTGGGGCTGCATGTAAAGACCTTTCAGCCTAGACAAGAAGCATACCCAGGAGTATTAGTTCTATCTTTATTGTAATGTTACATCAACAGAATCTTGCAAGTCTAAAAGTACATCTATCCTGCCATCACTTTTACAATCCAAGAAACTAGGGAGGGTCCATTCTAAGACATTTGTCACTCTCCCATTCTTTCTATGGGCTTAGCTTTCTCTTCTCTGATCATTGCCTAGCCTACAGCTCTTCTGTGTGTCTCCAAGGTCATTCTCGCATAGCATGACAGGACACTAAATTTCTTGTTTGCATAAATTCACTTTTTATAAAATATACAGTCTTATTTGGGCTCCAAATCAAGCTTGGATAAGGATTTTGGTCTTGGACAATTTTAATTCCATTCCATTAATTCTTCTTTGAAGTAAGACAATTTCTTGATAGCTGTAGAAGACTGTGAGGTTACATATTTGTCATGAGCTTTCCAAGTTCCCTGCGAATGGAAAACCATTCCCAGATATTTAAAAGGAGCACCTCGATTTTATTTCCATTTATTATCCAACTAAATTGCTTTGCTTTCTTTGAAAACACCAGGACTTTAGATTTTTGATCATTTATAATCAGCTGGTTTGCCCTGCTAATTGTTATGGCTTTCATAGCCTTTCTGAGTCCTGGGAATAGCATGTACTAAAGCTATGAGTAGCAGCACCATGCAAATCTGTTCCAGGTACATACCCTGTTGTGAGGGCAGCAAGATTTAGAATGGGTTGATATCCTACTGGCTTTGGCATGGGAGGAAATTCCAGCAATGCAACTATGGGGACTTGCCCTTATAGTTGAAACAACAGTATTACACATGCCTCATCCAGTAAAAACAAGTACACAGTAACGATTGAGAATGGTACTCCAACATGGTTAAATGATAGCTCCTGACTAAATTATGTTTTCATAGTAAATGTTGCTGCCTTCAAAAATGAGGAAAACAAAGTTCCAGCAACAGACTTGACTTGACATCAATACCGGAAGATCCTAGAACAGAGTATACAGTAAAAAGATAATCTGTAAGTATCTAATAGACAGTGGGAATGCTATGAACATATAATGTGAATTCAGCAACATAATACACCATAAATGCTGTTTAAGAAGTTAGTTAAGATAGGCTCAATGCTACACCAATTATGGTGGCTGAAAAATCTTTGATGATGGTTCCTCATCAAATTGGTGATGTTTGAGTGGGTATCTCACAAGATACCCGAGGTTCTCTACAATATTTTTATTACTGCTTTGAATTAATAAGTGGAGGGAATATTTTGTGAATGCATAGACCAGGGGTCCCCATCCCCCAATCCATGAACCAGTACCAGGCCGCGGCATGCCAGCAACCGGTCCGCAGAAACAAGCAAAGCCCCATCCATGGGATGCAGACAGCACACAAAATCACATCCCCTCCAGTCTGCGGAAAAACCTCTCTCCACGTAACCGGTCCCTGGTGCCCAAAAGGTTGGGGACCACTGGCGTAGACAATACACAAGTGAATGAGATAGGACAATAATACCACATAAGACAAATAAAAATCATGATAATATGGATAAAAGGACTGAAAGTAAACAGACGAAGTTTAACATAGAGAAGTGCAAAATTATTCAGTTAGAGAATAGAAATTAAAAACAGAGCTACAGGATGCTAAGCACCTGGTTTAAGTAATAGTACCTACAATCACAATTATGGAAGAATTGTTGATTACAAATTGACTGCAGCACAATATGGTTGCAAAGAAGGCAAATTTGATTTTTGGCTTCTGAATATATATATTCCAAAATTGACTGACCACAGGATCATTCAACTCTATTCTGTTTTAATTAAATCCCACTTCAGACACTATGTCCATTATGGGCAATATGTTTTAATGAGGATTACAGAAATTGAAATGGATGAGAAAAGGGCACAAATATGATCAGATAAACTAAATCCTATAAATAGAGATAGAAATAGCTAGTGGGTTTAGTGTAAAAAAAGACACCTGAGGAAAGATATGATAGCACTTGTCAAATACTGAAACAGTTGTTATATAGAAGAAAGTGTCTCTTCTTTTTTCAGAGTGCAAAATGTGGAACAAATAGTTTCATTTAATATTTTGAGAATTTTAATGCAATTTTTATATTTTATAAAACCTTATTGTATTTTTCTCATGTTGTTTATTTTTATAAAAACATATTGATGGTCCTTTCCAACTCTATGATTTTGTGCCTTTTCCATAGCAGAATTGGGGATAGGAAAAGCTTCAAACACATGCCTGATTTATTTCCTCAATGACACTAAAACAATATATAGTAGACTAAGCATTGACAGGTCTGATTTTCACTTGTTGTATTGTGATTTTTTTATATTTGCTCAATAAAATGTGTTTTCAGAATATTATTTTTACTATGCTTTAGCAATATCTTCCAAGTTAAAAAAAAAAAATCTCCCCAAAAGATTTTTAAGCATATGTTAGTATATTTATAACTGAACATAATGTTAAATAATATGGATCTGCATCTGGTGTAGCTGTTCTAAACTTTTTAGAATAAAAGGAATCTTTATATCTTAGCCTTCCAGGTCAAATATTAACCTCAGTGTTTAACTTCATAATATTGAGGGCTTTTTGTTATAGATTTGTTAAGGATCAGATTAGGCCCACTTAATATTTAAAGCAATTTCATAATGGGGAGAAACTATATAAAACTGTAAATCAACAAACTGATTCATTTGTATTTTCATACAAAAATGTCTTGAATTCTTAACCTTATCTCATTTCAAGCTCTTATTTCCCCATTTACTACAAGCAAATATCTTGAAACTTGGAAAAGATTACACAGCACTTTCTTTCAACAAACCTTATTCATACACTTCCTCAAATAATTCATAGTGCTTTTTTGGTACACCACATCTGAAGAAGCTACAACTGAAGATCTTGAAGCATATTTAACCTCAATTTTTAAACCATTAGCGTCAACTAAAGTCAACATTTCTGGCAACTTCTTGAACTTCATTCAATTTTCTCTTATCCAAGAACCCCATGCCCAACTGAAAAAAGTATTTCCCCTTGTACAAGAGGACTTCAATGTGAACTGAAATCTATGTGCATAATGAAATTAATATTCCATACCTCTAGATAAATGTTTTTCAACCATGGCAACTTTAAGATGTGTGGATTTCACCTCCGAAAATTCCCCAGCTGGCTGAGGAATGCTGGGGCTGAAGTCCACACATCATAAAATGGCCAGGGTTGAGAAACACTGTTATGAGTGAAAATGGGGAATGAGTATTTTGGATAAAGTATAGAGGCAAGTAATTTAGCAAAGTCTTCTAAATTGGGAGGGGGGAGAGATAATAAATACATTGTGTAGCCTACCATTGTAGGTGAAAGCACATCCTAATATAAGTCAGTCCACACCACAATGTAAATTTAGGATAGTGCTTTTTTAAAAAATGAGACTATGAGAATTGAGAGATATGAAAAATTAGCTTACTGATCTTGTTGGTTCTGGAGCTAGTATTTCCCAACCAACATATCTCAGAAGATAATTTATTTTTTCTTTTCTCTGACTGAGTAATAAATGAGCTTGCTTCTCTAATTGTTTATTCATTTCACATTACTGCTGTCTTTTAAAAAATATCCCTAGCTAGGTTATTTCATGTGCATTGCTTCTTCTGTATTTTGCCTTGTTTTATTCATGCTTTCTTACTCTTGACTGTGTCCCTAGACTATAACCTTGGTTACAATACACACTGCTGTCTCTGGGTTTGCATTTTTGATTAAGATGCTTGCTTTTTTCCCAGGCCAGAGACTGGCAAACAGTTGTGATTTGCATTAGCAACAATACTGAAATCAAAAGAAAAACTCAACTTTTAAGTGTGAGCGTCTAACTGCTGAAAGGCTTGGAAACTAGCACAGTTTGGAAAAAAAAACTTGTGGCATTTTCAGAGAATGTGGCTAGCAAAAACTGGCGCTCACATTGTGCAATTTTTGTATTTGCAGAAGAAAAAAAATCCTAAATGACTTTTTTGTCATTTCAGGGAAGCAATATTTAATAAAGACATTGACAGATTAGTACAAAACAAAGGAGGGGAACTGCCTCCCCTCCAATAGAAAAAAAAATCAAAAGTTATCCCAACAAAGAAGTTTATTTTCTAAATTTTTCAAGAATGCTACAATAAGCATCAGGACAGCAGCAATACTGCTGTAATAGTTCCCTCAAATACCATATTTAGCTAGGAATGGCAGGATTAGAAATACAAAGCAAAATTATATTTCAGGTACTTTAATCCTATGTAATCTTTGAGTGTGCAGAATTGTACTGTTGTTTTCTTAGAGTTTTTTAAGGAAAAGAATTGGCCAAATCTTTTTAGCAAATAGTTGCTACAGGATTCTTCTTTATTTAGGAGATATAATTACCAATCTATAGTCGGTAATGTCCTTGGAGAGAGGATTAAAATCTGCAAAAGAGCAGACAGAATTCTGCAATGCATGCTTGCCCTTTTGAATTTTCACATGATATTAACTTACATATACAAAAGTTGCAGTGTGGCACTCCATCCATCACTTTGCTTTTTTTGACCTCCCTCCATGGATCTTTCTGCCAGTAATTATTTAAATGATCAAGATAACAAAATAGAAAGTTCTGTTCTGAACATCAATTTGTAAATATAATATTAAAATAATGAACAAAAACAAAGTACTAAAAGTTAGATTCGTATTTATAAAGATGAGCAAATACCAACTTTTGACTGTTAGCCTAAAGAGTTAAGATTCCTTGTTTTTTATGACTTGGAACCATTTGAAAAAGGAATTGATATACCTAATGTATATATATTAGATGTATAAGCCATCAATATATGATGGTTAAAAGTCTTAGACTAGAAGTAAGAGACCCAAATTCTAGTCCTCCCTTAAACACAGAAGCCAGCTAAGTGACTTTGGGCCAGTTCCTCACTCTCTTCCTTAAACCAATGATATCTTTCAAAAACAATTAAAGACTGAGCATAGCTAAAGGATGCTTAGAAGATGTACGATAGATAGATAGATAGATAGATAGATAGATAGATAGATAGATAGATAGATAGATAGATAGAAAAATAGATAGACAGACAGAGGTAAAGGTAAAGGTAGAGAGAGAGAGAGAGAGAGAGAGAGAGAGAGAGAGAGAGAGAGAGAGAGAGAGAGAGAGAGAGAGAGAGAGAGGTAGATAGATACAGGGCTTTTTTCTTATAGAACGCCCAAAACGGAGTTCCGGCATCTTTTTTGGATGGAACCTTGTAGGGTAGGCAAGGCGGATTGTATGATGTGTGTGAGTTCCGGCACCTATTTTTTTTTTTTTTTTTTTAGAAAAAAAGCACTGGATAGATAGATAGATAGATAGATAGATAGATAGATAGATAGATAGATAGATAGATAGATAGATGTAGATAGATAGATAGATAGATAGATAGATAGATAGATAGATAGATAGATAGATAGATAGATAGATAGATAGATAGATAGAGGAAGAGGAGGTAGAGGTAGAGACACACCCACACATATATACAGTACCTATAACATATACATTTTGTGGGGAAGAGTTTGTGTGGATGTGTTTGCATACTTATACATACATAAATATGAGACCCAGTTGTTGTTCTTAAGCTATCATACTAGGAGTGGGGAGGCCCAAGTTCTTATCCTCCCTTAGGCACTGAAGCTTCCTGCCTGAGCAAGGGTTGGACTAGATGACCTCCAAAGTCCCGTCCAACTTTATTATTATTATTTGTAGCTTACTGGGTAATTTTGGGCCTTTCACTCAGTCTTAGTTCTTGACTCAGAAGGTGAAATATTTCATTCTACCAGCCTGCACTGGACTAGTAGATTGTGATCCATAACTTGCAGTGGATTAATGTGGGATGTTGATGTTGATGATAGACCTGAAAAACAAAGTTTGCAAAATAGGTCAAAGAACAAAAGCTATGTTTTTGCCATTTTATGCCACTCCACATGAAATATAGTTTTGCTGCAAGTAAGCCATATGCCAAATGTTGTATTGTTCTTAACAGCAACCTCCTTGCATGCAGAATTTTACACAGTACAAAAGGAGTGGCCGATGGCCTGAGGAGTCCTCAAGCAAAAGCCAACACAAAGGACAAGAAGAGAGGAAGTATGAAGTAGCAACAAATAGAAGGAAATTACCCAATGTTTTCGGTTCCCATAAAATTGCAGCAGGGTAAGAGATACTGCAACATCCTAAGGACAAATTTGTATTGCCATAAATGTTAATTAACTAAACTCCATTTCATCAGATATTTTATCTACTAATTACAGCTTTCTATTAAGGATTCTTCTGACATTAGAAGGAAATGGAAGTGTGTAAAGACTTCAGGTCCTGAGCACTGTGCAATGTTGTTTGAGTTAACCCCCCAGAACAGGATTTTACTCTTGCTTGCTTTCCCTTGCGGACACCATGTCCAACACCATATATACCTGGAGGATCCGTCAATGGAATCCATTTCCTTAAAAAACTTCTTTCCACTGATAGATGGTCAGTGAAGACAATCCTAGGACAATTTTATTAAGCTTAAGAGTATGTTAAATAATTACTATGAATATTTACAAATCATTGGTTTATGGTATCAATTCCAAAGTGGGTTCTCGTAAGCTATTTAACAGCTATAGGGGTTAACTGAAGCACGGTTAAATGAATGAAAATTATTAATGTTTATTGATTTATTACAAAATATATTTTTGTGTAAAAACATTCTAGTCAAGGGCTTTTGATAGACTTTTGTAGTATTCGGTTTTGTTTTATTAACTTTTGTTCCATTATTTTTACCGGTGTGAGCACCATAGAACTTAAAATTTCTTTCTACGAAATGGGTACAGGATTGTGTTATGATTTTTTTTATAGATATAACTTTCTTATTCAGATCTTATTGAAATCTATGCTAAAAGCTTCTATTCATGGAATGTTTCTTCCTACCAATGTGTCATTAATACTGACTTTGAGATTTAATTTGTTAGGTTGGATGGACTCATATAATATGATGAGTTTATCAATTAGGTTCAGGAGTATGATCCCAAGATTAATTGCCAACCACCTGCCATTGCGCTTAAACATTCAACATTTTATAGTCTATTTCATTATATTAATGGACATTTTCCCCAATCCTTTATGTTTTTGAAAACCTGAAAACATAATCCAACTCTCAGCTTGATACTGATATACTCTATTAATTCTAATCTCTCACAATTTTACTGTATATTTTAATTGCATTAAATGAGCAGTGCTCCTGCACTGCTGATCTGGAAAAAGATAATTTTGCACTCAAGGTCAGATGGAAAAATTTGCATTCATATAATCCCCACCCTTCAAGGTGATAAACAAATACTTATAATAATTGTATGACTAAATTTCAAAATAATGTCTGAAATAGGGATGATCTCATTAGGCAAATAGTCATTCAAAAAATAGCAGAACCCTCATTAGTATTACAATATTCGGTATGATCCATTTTGCAAAGTTTCAGCTAGCCCAATGTCATGTCTCTAAGTAATGAAATGGAGTCAAAGTTTTATGTTTAATGTTATATTTATCATAAACCCAGTAGGAAGTTGCTATTTATGCTATCCTTTTTTCAGTTCAGGAATCCAGATTAAAGCATTTCTGATGGATTCAAAAGACTGTTCAACTTTTATCTGGACAGCTTCATCAAAGGAGAGCTGATCACCTTCTTTAATAATTAGTTCCACTCTTGAACTGCCCATGTCGTTAAGGAAGCTTTCTTAACATTGAGACAGAATCTGTCTCCCTATAAAATAAGATCTTTGCTTCCTATCCTGCATAGGATTGATAAAGATTCATTGATAAAATAACATTTGATTAAGTTCATCCTAGAGAAGGAAAATTTAAAACCATAAGCAGCAACAACACAAATACATTTCAGAAACGAGGTGGCTAAAGATAAATATTCTGCTGTACAGTAGTTAATTTGAGTAAAGTTAAGGACAGATGGGGAGAACAAGAGCCAGACAGCAATCTTTTTGTAGCTCTAAATCATGGCACAAACAAGAGTTAGGCCTATCAACCCCCCTTAGCTGACTGGAAAACCTACATTAAACTAAATCATCTTCATCTAGAAATTTCTGTACATATTGTAAGTTATTGAGAAAAGGTAAAAGCTCCAGCAATTCCTGAGGAAAGATGAATTTGAACCAATAATTAGTTTCATAAATCTGGGATCTTGCTTGAATTGATGTAATCCTCACATCCAAATAGAAGATAGTGTTGGATATACAGCCATATAATGAAAATAGCTCAAAAAAATTTCAATTGGATTATTACCAAACCATCTTTATCAGAAATGGCCAGATATTTATAAGAAATCTGAGATATCACCTTAACCTCAAAAGCTTTCAGGATTCAATAAAACCTTCAGCTACTTGAGATTTTTTTTTTCTATCCTTATTCCATCTTTTATCAAGGCCAAACATATTTAGTTCCTTTAATCTCTCGTATGAGTTTTCAGTCTTTATCACCTTTACACTTGTTCCGGTTTGACCAAATATCTTCTAAAAATGTAACCAAACCAGATCAGAATCAAGATGATCGATATATTTAGTCCATGAATGATTGGGCTCGTTTCTAAATTTGGGATTCAAAAGTGCATGCACCTGCCAGGTATCACATCTGTAGCTTTTTGCTATTTGGACTTTGGAAAAACTAATCTTTATATTATTGTACACTACATGCAGGATGCAACCTAATTCGTATGAGCTTTGTGAGCGAAGGCTTGGTGAACTATTTCCACAGGAAAAATGTCATGTCGTTTTCTAATTTCCATAGTTTAATGAAGATATGCATACAGAGAGTAACATGCTAATCATAGTATTCTGCAAATGAAACAATATTTGGAAACAAGGAAACAGCAGGATAGATTTTGTAATCTGGAACTAAATGCACTTGTCTCCTTGGGAACCACACTGGCCTTTTCTCTACATCCTCCCACTCCTTGCTCCACACCCCCAACCTATTTTGTTCATTTCATTCCTTTTGATACAGGTTCTTTGAAATAAAGAGCTGGATCATAAAATAGCACTGGCTTTAACAAGATTGTTTAGTACCACCTTTCTTTAACTGATGGAGGGTTCAGAAAAGAACCTAAGAATACTTTGGTTCACAGTCACAAGGACATGTTAATTATTTTAGTTTTCTTTAATACACAATCAGATTTATACTTTTTCTGGCTGTTTCGCTCTCTTGTTCTTTCTCAGGCAGACAAAGACATACATACATATCTCAAAGTAGATTTTGCTTCTTGCTTTATATTCCTGGTTTTGGATTGTTTACAAATCTGTCATTGGATCTGGCACTTGCATTAGTTCTCTATGCTGCTGTGCACTCAGCTGGTTTAAAAAATGGCAAATACATGTTTTAAGGAACATTTGGAGAAATTGGAAGTGATGTAGAGAAGGTGGTCAAATCACAGGATTGGAAGCTCAAACGTAAGCTAAGATTAAAAAGAAGTGGATCTGATACCCCTTAAAAAAGATCAATCAAATAAATACCTGAGTGAGTGTCACACAGAGGAAAAACAAGACCTGTTTTCTGTTGTTTCAGGGTGACCTTAAGTTGCAAAAAGTAGTTTCTAGTTTTGGGGGTTCCAGAACAGCAAGTCAGCAATAGAATCATTGACTCAGCTTCTACTTAAGCCAAAACTGAACAACTATTTATTAAGGTAGCCAACTTTTTTACAATGAAAAGGAGGACACAAATAAATTGAAGAAAAAAATATCGTAAATAAAAGAAACATTTTATTCATTGTAACAATAATACAGATGACTTGCATGTGCAAAGTTTGCCAGCCGGGTGTTTTGGCATGCTCAGCAGCAATTCCTATTGGCTTTCGAAAGCCAATAGGGGGAGTAGCACAGCTCATGCAAAAGTTGAAAAAAAAACATCAAAAAAAGGTGCCAGAATGCCATTCTGAGCATTCTATGAGGGGGAAAAAAAGCCCTGCAGATTAGTCTTCAAATATTGAAAAGGAGGACATGAAGGAGGACACTTTTTGAGGGAGGACAGAACTTACAAAAGGAGGACTGTCCTCCCTAAAGGAGGACAGTTGGTCACCTTATATTTATTTGCCTGGCCCATTTTAACCGTATTTCTACACTGAGCAGGGAATTGGACTCAGGAACCTAAAATTCAATGCTTCTCAACCTCAGTGACTCTAAGATGTGTGGATTTCAGTTCCAGCCAACACTAAAATAAATGATCCCTTCCAGCTCTTGGTTATGCTCCCTGTATTCTTCCTTGTTGAAATATAAATATTTTACCACCATTAAATAGAAATATTTTACTACCAAACAGCCTCTCAAAGTTTAAGAATAGGAAAGTAAACCTGAAGCCATCTTTTCCATTTACCAGCGAGATCTTTAAAATAAGCAAATCAGCTCCATGAAATGAGATAGGACCTCATTTTAAATCTAGATAGGATTGCACATTTTCCTGCAGGAGGGTCTTTCCTCTTGATTTGACCAGCAGAGGGAGCTACTGTAGTGTGCTAGATACATGTCTCTGTTACCGCTGTTCAGCTTTTCTTAAATAGTACCAGTCTTCAAAAAGCTGCTTCATCAGTCCTTGACTGCGGTTTTAGAGTTAATCAGCACTGTGGCCTAACCTTTGGATTGCACCTCCATGTTCACTATGACTGAAATGATTTGTTCAATTATTTTGTAGATTGCAGGGTTTTGTGAAGAAAAGCAGTTGGTGGAACAAGATGTCCATACGACCAAGCACAGTGGAAAACAAAATTTATGTTGAAGAGTGTTGTGGAAGCATGCTGCAGTGATTCATTTTCAGTTAGTTGAAAATGCAGCCTCCGGGGAGGATTGTCGAAAAGGATAGGAAACAATAAGAATTGTGCTAATTTACATCTCAGACTGAAATTAGAGAAGTCTTCCTACCACCCCGTGTCTTTCCAAAGACCACAAACCATAGGATATTCTTTTTAGAGCCTTGAATACCACAACACACTCTTGAACATCATTAGCTCAGCCTCCCAAGGTTAGGAAACCCATGACTTTTTAAAAGTGGCATACAGATAGTCCTCTACTTGCAACCTTTCGTTTAGTGACTGTTCAAAGTGATGTTGGCACCGAAAAAAGTGACTTATGACCGTTTTTCACACTCATGACCATTGCAGCATCCCCATGCTGACGTGATCAAAATTCAGATGCTTGGCAACTGGCTTATATTTATGATGGTTGCAGTGTCTCCAGGGGTCATGTGATCACCTTTTGCGACCTTCTGACAGGCATAGTCACTGAATGAGTCATATTGACCTAACAACTATAATACTAACAACACCAGATTCACTTAACAACTGTGGCAAGAAAGGTCGTAACATGGGGGAAAACTCGACTATCTCACTTTGCAACAGAAATGTTGGGTTCAATTGTCATCATAAGTTGAGGACTACCTGTATTAGAATGTACTTCGCACGCTCTGCCAACTTGTCCATCCTTCCGTATTAAGTTCATTTCTGGTTATAGGTGTCCATGTCTCTAGGCTGGAAGGGGCATGCAATGACCAAAGGCCATGTGCACCTTCTCTTCCATATTAGAGTGCAAAGCTGCAGGGAAAAGCTCTTTCTTTCCACAGGATCTAATATATGAGTGGTGTTATAAGTTAAGTCACTGTTAAATAACATCTAATGCACTGATAATAATTCTGGGTTGTATAAACAGAGGCATAGAATCAAGATCACTTTATAAAATCCTAATAAGACCACACCTGGAATACTGCAGCCAGTTTTGGTCACCATATCACAAAAAAGATGTTGAGAGTTTGGAAAAAATTCAGATAAGAGCAACTAAGATGAACAAAGGCCTGGAGACTAAAACATACGAAGAACGGCTGTTGGACTTGGGTTTGGCTAGTCTAAAGAAAAGAAGAAATAGGGGAGACATGATAGCAGTCTTTCAGTATTTGAGGGGCTGCCACAAAGAAGAGGGGGTCACATTATTCACCAAAGCACCAGAGGGCAGGACGAGAAACAATGGTTGAAAACTGATCAAAGAGAGAATTAAGGAAAAACTTCCTGACACTGAGGACAATTACCCAATGGAACAGCTTACCCCCAGAAATTGTGGGCACTCCATCACTCGAAAATTTTAAGAAGAGGCTAGGCAGTCACTTGTCTGAGATGATACAGGTTCTCCTGCTTGAGCAGGGAACTGGACTAGAAGATCTCCAAGGTCCCTTCCAGCTCTATTCTATTTGAGAATACCAATAAAATAAAATAAAATGGAAGTAATAGAAACTGGCTATGTCTTATACCTCCCTGAATGGTCATAACAGTGAAATTAATGGGCTAGAGGTGTGAAATTAGCACATAGCCTTGGAAATGTGTTAGTGAATTTATATAACTCCTCCAAAAAGTCTCATATATTTTAGTTTTCTTTCATTTTAGTACCATAGTGTGGACTTTCTGATTTCTATGAACATCGGAGCATTCAATATCCAGCCATTGCCATCTTCTTACAAAATCCATCTTCTCACCATGTGTTTTAAAGAATGTTTCTGAAACTCTTGAGCATAAACTATCTTCAACTTCAGCTAGCTTGATGTAGAAGTTAAGGCACCAGATCAGAAACTAGGAGACTGTGAGTTCTAGTTCTGTCTTGGGCACAAAGCTAGTTGGATGAGCTTGAACCAGTCACTCTCAGCAGGCAGTGGAAAACCACTTCCAAAAATCTTGCCAACAAAACTGGAGAGACTTGTTTAGGCATTTGCCAGGAGTCAAGACTGACTTGAAAGTACCACCCACCCAAATGGTTTCAAGGAGTTCTAGCACTTTTAACCTTCACTAAGACTCTTGAAGTAGTAATAATTCTCAATTAGTTAGTCAAGACCTTCACAATTAAAATTAAATTGCATTACAATAGGAACAGATGGGATAAAGATATTTGTATGAAGATCCACTTCCCTCCCCCCCCCCCCAAAAAAAAAACTATTGGGAGGATTGCTGTTAAACTCAGAAAGAACAAGGAAATATTACAGGTGATGTAGAAGGCAGATGCTATAATTGTCCTTGCAATAATAATAATAATTTTGAAATCCAAACATTTCATTCCTATAACCCCTTGATCCACTGCACAACAGGGGGTTTATATCTGGACCATTTTCAGTTCATCATAAAAGAAGGGAAAATGGATCCGTCCTTTCAAGAATCAGAATACCTAAAGTATAAAAGGGTGCATTGTTGGTATTAATTTAAATCACTGTGGTGGCATAGAATTATTGAACTGCTACAAATTACAGAAAACCTGAGATGGGATTTGTCTTGTAAAGACAGTTGCAAATAGCTTTAAAAGAAAATAACTAGAGGAAAATAGATGACATTTTGTTTATTCCCACAATAGTGTTGGTGGATAACTATTTTCCTGGCCCATAAAGGTGACCCTTTCATAAAAGCTGACTAATTACTTAAATTGATGATGAAGAGCTGTGTTCCTCACATCCCCATGAATGCCACATTATTTATGAATATTTAACTTAATTGTCACAAAAAAACTGTAAACGATGAAGAAAGTAATGTAGGAAAATTGTTTTACCCATGATAAAGGAAACTTTTTACTAATGGAAGCTCTGCTGGAATAGCAAGCCATTGCTCAAAGGAAGTACTAGTACCGCATTATAAAACCCTAGTGAGACCACACCTGGAATACTGCAATCAATTTTGGTTAGCATATCACAAAAAAGATGTTGAGACTTTGGAAAAAGTTCAGAGGAGAGCAACTAAAATGATCAAAGGCCTGGAGGCTAAAACATGCGAAGAACGGCTGCAAGACTTGGGTATGGCTAGTCTAGAGAAAAGAAAAAACAAGGGTGATGTGATAGCAGTATTCCAGTATTTGAGCTGCCACAAAGAAGAGGGGATCAAACTATTCTACAAAGCACCAGAGGGCAAGACAAGAAACAATGGCTGGAAACTGATCAAAGAGAGAAGCAACCTGGAATTAAGGAGAAAGTTCCTAACTGTGAGATCAATCAACCAGTGGAACAGTTTGCCTTCAGAAATTGTGCACA